GGTCAGCCCTAAATGAGATATTTTTCTCACTCTCTGCTACCACGACCAAGGTCTAAGGAACATTGAAGAAGAGGAGGGGCAAAGAGCTAGATGATGGTGAGGGATGCCGTGAGACGCAAACTTCTGGCATGATCTCACATCAGCTATGGTTACCTGTGAAGACCGGCACAAGACCAATCCAACCAGACTTCTGGCTTGGACTCCGGAGGTGCTGCCCAGCCCCATCTCTTACTGAGGAGATATTGGTAGTTGGGAGTTATTTGGGGAGGGTGATTCATGTTTGTGTGAAAATGGGGGACAAGTAGATGTCCCATATCCCAGTGGGTGGCCCTGCACCCATACACATCCAGGAAACACTAATTGGACTTCATAGTTTTTTGTGTATTAATTTTTTTTGTTTTTATTTTTTTTGAAACCAAGTTTCTCTTTTTAACAGCTCTGGCTGTCCTGGAACTCACTTTCTAGACCAGGCTGGCCTCAAATGCACAGAGTTCTGCCTGCCTCTGCTTCCTGAGTGTTGGGATTAAAGGTGTGCATGGCCACCACCCAGAGTATTATTTTCAGAGTCCAGAGTGCTCGCCATTACACTATGGAACCCCAGAGTATTATTTTCTAAAAGAGAATATGGAGTTGGGAGGGGCCATGAAGTAGGTGGGGCTTATATGAGTTGCATAAAGAAAGCTGGGGATGGATTTGATCATGTTTCACAGTATACGTGTATGAAATTCTCAAGAATAAAGACAAATTAATATTAGTTACAAAATTAGGAAGTTCATAGGGCATTCCAAAAGTAACAAATAAAACACTAGGTTTCTAAGGTTCATAAAACAACAACCAAAAAGAATATCCTGGGTGGTGGCAGCACACACCTTTAATCCCAGCACGTGGGAAGCAGAGGCAGGCTGATGTCTCAGAGGGAATATCCTTGAAAAATCTGACTACAGAGCTCTAAGTTTGAGGCCAGCCTGATCTACATATTGAATTTCAGGACAGACAGGGCTACACAGAGAAATCCTATCTCAGTGGGAACAAAGGGAGGGGGTTGGCTTTGGCAGTAATATTAATGTAGAATTTAGATCTCCCCACTCTACCCCATTACAAATTTTCCATTTGTCTCCCAAACGATTAAGCTGGTAAACAAAAGAATGGCAGGGTGGACTGTGAACTTCTTCCGTGTTAGTCATGAATCACTCATATTTGTAATTCTTGTAACTCCTATAATAATGTACTGCACAGAAAAAAACTCCTGAGAGCAAATAAAAGAGATACAAAGTATGACTGCATTTGTATGGGAAAGGCTTTAGTTTTTAATGGCATGTGTGTTTTCCTTCTGTTAACTTCTGGAAGCCACAAGTTAACAAAGTGGCAGTTTTGAACTTAACGTTATAGAGCAGCCGGTCTGGGCAAACAAACACAGTCACGTGTTACAAAACAACTGAGACTCAAAGTCACATTGCTACAGTAAAATTTTTATTGTTAATACAATTTTAATTTTATTAACATAATCTGTTATAAACTATCTTTGTTTTATTTAACTAAGTACTTCTGGACCCAAAACTACTGTTAAAAAAGAAAACTAAGGTATATGCATAACCATTTGCTTTAGTTTACTTAGTACATATTTAGGAACTGAGACTAGGTTACCCAAATAAACTGCCATTAATAAGCTAAAGAAATCGCTTTAATAGAACAGAATAACAACAACAACAACAACAAAAAAAAACCCATACAAGTTTCTTCTCCTTTGTCATTTAAAAAGCACCACAAAAGCTGGGTGTAATCCTAGCCCTTGGGAGGCTGAGACAGAAGTATGCAGTTAGTCTAGACTACATAGTGTGACCTTGTCAAAACATAAATCATTCAGTCAATGAATAGATAATAAGAGCACTGAAAGATTTTCCAATGAGCCTGTCATTGCTAGGAAATACAGTGTAATCATGGTATATAAGCAAGTATTTGTGTTGGTGTCAAAAGCACGAATGTTTTAATGACACTTATCAGCAAATTCTGTTATTCTTACTCACTTCTTTGTCACTGATTTCAAAACACACTCAAATAAATTGTCTTGTAGGTGTCATAATTATAACTTTGCTTCAGGAATTGAAAAGCTGTTTTCCCAATAGCTAATGCTAGCATAAAAGAAGAACAGGCTAACAGGACTCGGACCCTTCAGTGTGCTAGAAAGATAAAGGTCCATGTAGATAAAAGCGCTGCTGTGCATAGCTGAGCGTTTCCAACACCTGGAAGGATTCTGGAACTCCAGGCTTGTTAACAGCTGAGCCAAACTGTTTAGCTTGTCTCACCTAAGGGCTAAAAGGCAGTAGGGGGTCAATAAATAACACCTATTTGTAAAGCATTCTTGATGAGTGACAGTTTGAGTGCCTCCTGGATGAATCGTGGGTGTGAAACGTCACTCTGTGTGTGCTCTGTAAACTGCTATTGTAGACTTCTCTCCCCTTAACTGCTTGAGTATTGCTGCTTGGTACAAAGTTTAGTCTGCATTGTGCTCTGAACTCAGGTTTGTGCTTACAGTCACCAGAGAAAAAGGGAGTGTTGACCAGGAATTGGAAGCATTAGTTTTAAATCACTTACTGGTTAAATTAACCCTGGTGCTATTAAGATTTTAGATCAGGCCTTGAAAACAAACAAACAAACAAACAACAAAACAAGAACTCCAGGTGACAGTCGAATAGAATAGCCATCAAGACTTGCTTTAGCTGGGCAGTGGTGGCTGATCCCTGCACTCTGGAGGCAGAGGCAGGCTGTGAGTTTGAGGCCAACCTGGTCTCCTGGTCTACAGAGTGAGTTCAGGACAGGTTCCAAAAGTTACAGAGAAATCCTGTCTCTAAAAACCAAAAAAAAAAAAAAAAAAAAAAAAAAAAAAAGAAAAAAAGAAAGAAAGAAAGAAAGAAAAAAAGAAAGACTTGTTCTAGGTTAAGAGAGTCGGCATTTTAAAAATTCATTTTCTTTTATGTGTATAAGTGTTTTGCTTGCATGTATGTATTACTCATGTGCCTAGGGTATTGGTTCCCCCAGAACTGGACTTGCAAACTGTTTGGCATGGTTTGCTACCTGAGTGATGACCATTGAGTCTGGGTCCTCTGAAAGAGCTGACAGAACTGCTGCCCCAGAAAGTAGGTTTTTAAATATGTTTGAAGGCTATTGATGTACTATAATCACAGGGCACTGGCATACCAACATGAATAGAATCCAACAACTCACAGGAGGACAGCCACCAGAGCAGCAATGATTCATTGAGTCCATTTAACTGTGCTACGTGGATATCTCAAGCTACACATTATTTCTATCACAATCTCAGCATGAGAGTGTTTAAGCCTAGCACTTTCTGTCATACAGCTAATAAGTGATAGGATTAGAACTCAAATTTATACAGTGAAAAGGGGAGGAGGGAATAGGTGACTGGATTCTTAGTTTCAGTGGTCAAGAGCACACTCCTAATCTTAAGAGTGAGCAGGAGAAAAAGACAAGAAAAATGACTGGGACCCAGGAGGTGAAGCACCCGGGCCTATGAGTTTCTAAAGTTTTGTCTTCACCTCCCTTATCCTTACAGGTGTGCCTGGGGATTAAACTTGGGCTACTGCAACTGGCTACTAGGCAGGTTCTCAGGGTTCAAACTTAGGTGCCAGACTCCAATGGCGAACACTTCCGCCCATTGAGCCGTCTCATTAGTCCTTTTGTCAATTAAAAAGTAGTTATGATGTCTATTTTGAATACAAATAATTTTGTCCTAAAGCACTTCTTTACAATTTCAAATGAGAAATTGTTTATTTAGGTCATATGAAAATTTTAAGGTCCTTGATAGGATTTGACAGCTTTCAAAAGACCTACCTTATATGTGAATTTTTCTTAACTTATATCCACACCACAGTATGAGAATATCCACATCATTTTCACTAGTGGGATTCATCCATAAGTTAAACAAATTGGTAAATCAGATTTATAGAGAACACAGTACTTCTGTCTTTGTTACTATTGAGTTTGAACATGAATAAAATGTGGTTGACACTTATGCAAGTATGTGAATTGATGTACAAACACTATTAAGTGTTGGTGTTTTGTTTATTTTTAAATGTCTTATTTGTCTTTACAATATACTATATTTATACTTTTGCTCCTAATGTGAATTTGCACACTTGAGTTCCTGCTTCTGAATTGAGGTTCCGAAAAGGTGACGGACCCATTTACTTGTGAACAGTGTCCAATGTGTAATAGAGAAAATGGACACCGCACTTTGTGGAATTACTCTTAAATTTAATTAGGCAATGTAAGCAAAGCATATCTTATGCAGTATCTGTCGAAGACCACACACATCATTTCACGCAACCAAAAGTTTTGCTCTTGAGTTGAATCACACAATTCCATTTCAAGAATTTAGGAAAACCAAAACTGGAGATTCAGAATCCCTGAAGGATCACAAGCCGCGGTTGCAAACTGCTGATTGAGGGTGTGAAGTCTGAGCACAAATCACAGCGATAACGCTGGCAGTCTCGAAAGCGGAGGCGCGCCGGCTGTCCCCGAGCTTCTCTGGTTTGAGCTTCAGAAAACTTGGGGTGAAAACGACGAAGGTCGAAGCACAAAACGCGCGAGCGGCGTTCAGTTTCTCCGTCTGTTTTTCAGACAGCAGCCGCTCTAGAGGCCACAACCGGATGGCAATGCAGAAGTACAGCCAGAAGGGAGGGCGGGGCTGGCGACTCCGTCTCGGGAGACGGGCTTCTGGGAACTGCCCGGGGTGAGAAATGGTGCGCGAACCGTGGCGCCGCGTCAGCTAAGCTGTGGCTGGAGTCGCCCCCACCTCCCACCCCTCCCCCCGAGCCCAGCGGCACAGAGTCCCGAGGACGGCGACAAGATTCCAGCCTGCAGCCAAGCCGCTCAGTCACTTCCGGCGCACCAGCCCGGACCCAAGCAGCGCGCACGCGCAGAGGCCTCGCCTCCCGGAGGGGGGCGTGGCAGCTGGATGCCGTCTTTGCGCCTGCGCGCCGGTCTGCTGGGCCGGGAGGGGCAGGGCTGTGGGTCGGCGTCGCGCAGTCCGTGGTGTCGCGGCCGGGTCGCTCTTCACGCCTCACTGCGGCGTCGCGTCGAGTCCCCGAGAGCTCGGCGGGGTGTGGGGAGGTAAGAGCCCGGGAGCCGCCGCCGCCGCCGCCGGCCTCTCCTCATCGTGCTGCGGGCGGAGGGGCGGGGTGGCCGCCGGCTCGCCGGGCTCCGACGGCTGGGCCTTGCCTGCCTCGGGGTCCCGCTGGCCGCCCTGGGCGCTGTGCAGCCGGGATATCTGATCCCACCGCAGGCCCGGCCCGGAGCGCACTGGCCCCGGCGACTCCGTCGCAAGGATGCTCCAGTGTCAGCCCCCGCTGCCTTTTCTTTTTAGTGCCTCTGAAGAGATGCCTTTTTAGCCGTTAACCTGTTTGTACGACCGTGATTGCAAATTGCTACATTCCGATCCCATGTTCTTGGTTGGACAGGTCAGAAACCCGGTCCGTAAATTTAATATTAAGTTCATCTTTTAATTCAAAGAATTAATTAGTGATGTCATCGGATTCCGTCATTTACTCCTCCGAGTTTGCCGTGTCTTGAGTGGGCGGAAGTTTAATGACTTGAATCAGTAGAGCTCTGATTTTTCACGTAACTTCTTTTTCTCTATCTTGGATATTAAGCTACATATTTAGTGGTAAGCTATTTAAAAATGACAGCAAAGAATAAGGGATGATAGATTTCTTTCATGCAAAAGTGGTCAGTCGCTTAACATTTGGACATTTTCCTTTGTTCTTTTTGCCCCGGTTACATTTTAAATTTAAGGATCAGATTGCTTAGCCTTCCCTTGTTTTTAAAAACCTTACACATATACCGATTACCTTTTTACTATACACATAAAATATGAGTAAAAGCATCTTTTGAAGTAGCTACCTCACAAAATTCCTTTTATCCTCAATCATAATACTCTGTTACACATTTAATACCCTTGTGATTGAGGGTAATGACAACTGAGAAAAAAATTGCTAATGCAATATATTTACCATTTTGGAAATTTAAGCACAGAAAATTCTTTTTTTCCCACATATGCACTTAATAGTTTTATAGGGAAGCATGGTGGAGCATGACTGTAATCCCAGCAAGTAACTGTGGAGGCAGGAGAATTGAGCTACAAACCAGCCTGGGGTACACAGTAAATTGCTGTCTCAACAATAAAAGCTAGGTAAAAGTAAAAACATTATGTACTTGCTAAGTATCTCGATTGGAAACCAACTATCTTTCCAAACTAAGTTTAGGGAGCAGGAAGGTATTGTTTTACCTCGAAGCAAGTTACTTTAATGTCTGGCGTCATAGAAGACAGCTGAATTGTATTTCTCGGTTCATCTTGGAGCACAGGCTTGTTTAGATTAAAGCCCATGAAGCAAACCTGTCTTTGGGTAGTCACGTGGTTAGAAAAGAGCAGACCTATTTTCTCAGCAAAGCAGAGGAATGCATTTAGCCATTCTTATATTAAATAGTCCGTTCTCATGTGCTTCTCGCTTACAAACTGCAACATTGGAAGTTCATGTGTTTTTGCTCACGTGTGCTAGCATTTATCTGAAGGTTGCATTGCTAAATCTTAGACTTATGTCTCCTACTCCCCTTCTTTTGTGTTTTGATAGACATAGGAATTAACTTGGATGATTTTCATAATTTTCTGTTGAGTTCCCAGGTCACTTGTTTGAATTATTTCCTCTAATGATTGATAAAGTATCTGAATATTTTTCAGTGGTTTTGGGTTACTTTCTTGAATTTAAAGAGAGAATTGGGATTTCCCCCCAGACTATTTCTACAAATTGTTACATCGTTTGCCTGAGAGGCAATATCATTTTCTGTCAGTAACAGTTGAGATTTTTTTTTCTTAAAACTCATACCTAACCAACATCATGTACTTTATTATATTTTTAAAAAACTTTATTTCAACTTACTGAGCAACCAATGGTGTTTTTAAATCCTAATTATTCAATGTATAGTGAAATTTTTTTCATGGTCATATTATTGTCTTTCCATATAATTTATTTTACCCACTTAAAGTCTAGTGTCCAGCAGCCTTTCTAACAGGTTTTTATTATTTTTATATTGTAAGGCTGCATTATATATTTTTTTTCTTTTTTTGTTTTTTCGAGACAGGGTTTCTCTGTATTGTTTTGGAGGCTGTCCTGGAACTCGCTCTGTAGTCCAGGCTGGCTTCGAATTCACCTGCCTCTGCCTCCCGAGTGCTGGGATTAAAGGCGTGTGCCACCAACCCCCGGCAATGCTATCGTCTCTGTAGAGAATGGATGTATATTGTACAGAGCTTTGTGCTTTTCTTTCATTCCGCACTGCATATTGGATATTTTCTACAGAAGTATATGTAACCTAGGTTATAACTTTATCTAGACAGGTTTAGGGATCATCAGATGTCCAGTGCTCTTGTATTCTTTTCCTAGGTCACTTCCTTAACAGCTATGTGTTGCCAGTTTCCCAGTCTGTATCTCAGACTCTTTTCTGCATTCCAGGTCCTTTACATTCAACAGCCACTTGGACATCTCCCCCAGGATGTTCTCAAGGTACTTCACACAGTAGTCTCAAGTGTTTCCCTCCTTCCTGCTCCTCTTGAATTGTCTGTGATGGTCAGTGTATCTCCATTAGTCTACCTACAGCCCCCGCAGTGGGATCTGTTGTTAATCCCAGCCTTCTCCTTTGTCTCAGTCTCCAGAAGTTCTGGTTCTTTAGCTGTTTTTCTGTTTCTTTTCATCTTCACCTAAGTCTCTGCTCATGTCCTTACCGTCTCTCACTTTAGCAATTTTAGGTTTCATCTTTATTATTAATATTCCCTGTTGCTACCATTTTAAACCATGAAGAGACCTTTAAAACCACTTTTAAAAGTGAATATTATAAAATGTGTTTGGAAATCTGAGAGTATATAAATGGCCAAGTTAGTAAAATTATCTCAAGTCATCGTTGGGCTGGCAGAATAGCTTAAAGGGTAAAGGTGTGTGCAGCGAAAGCCCGACCACCTGAGGTGTTTGTCCCCGACACGCAGTGGAAGAACAGAACTAGTCACTTAGGAAAGTTTCCTTCTGACCTCCACACCCACACAAATAAATAAATAAAGGTCATTCTCATATACAGGAGATTGAAAACAATCTCATCATCAGTGCTTCTACGAATAAACTTTCAAATATAGAGTATATTGTACATTTTTTATTTCTTCTATTTATAATAGATTGCTAGATCAAAATCACCCTTCCCTTTGTTTGATTGAAATGAGAAAATCCACAGCTTAGTAGTACTTCGTGTTAAAAGGTCTCAATGTAAAGTATTTGCATTGTCATACCTTTTACAAATTATTGAATTGTATTGTTTCCTGTACTTTTGGCACTTCAAATAATGTAATATTTAGCAGTGTGTTAAAAGATGTTCTTTAATGAATTCTTTGGTTTGTTTAAAAAAAAGCAGCTCTGGATTTTGCTAGTGATAAACTGTTTTAGAACTTTTGGTGATAGTTTTTGTTTTTTGAGACAGTTTCTCTGTGTAACCCTAGCTGTCTTGGAACTCATTCTGTAGACCAGGCTGGCCTCAAACTCAGAGATCCGCCTGCCTCTGCCTCCTGGGTGCTAGGATTAAAGGCGTGTGCCACCACCACCCAGCTGGTGATAGTTTTTTGTTGTTGTTGATACATTCTATATTCAAAGCTTCTTTACTTTTTTAAATATGTATGAACTTATTCATTTACTTTGGTTTTGTGAGACAGTGTCTCACTATGTAGTGCTGGCTGGACCAGAATTTCTATGTAGATCAGATTGGCAGGTCTTGAATTAGGGTGATCCTCCTGTCTCTGCTTCCTGTGTGCCGGGATTATATGCATATGTCACCACTCCTAGTCTACGTTTTTACCTTTTATGTAATTTTAATTTTGTTAAAGGGATAATCCTAATGCTCAAGAGGCAGAGGCAGGTAGATCTTTAGAGTCAAGTTCAGCCTGGTCTACATAGCAAGGCCAGCCAGAGCTACATAGTGATTGATATCTTGTCTCAAAAAGGGGGTGGCATAACCATACCCTACATAAAGATTTAAATAATACTAGAAATCTATAATGAAAAACCTAGTTACCCTTTCTTGTTCTTATGCAGAATTCTACTCTCCAGAGAAATCCATCTTAGTCTAGGCTTCCTGTGTGAATCATGGAACACAGAAAATGGTTTCAGCAACTGTTTCTCAGTTCTCTCATGGATGATACAAATAATAATACTTTAAATGCCTACAAATGAAGTTAATTTGTTACTAGATGTAGATGCCTTAGGGCAGTAAAGAAATAATTCTCTCACAAAACGGAGACAGGTTGCTTCAGTGCCAATAACTTCATTTTTTTAAATCTCCAGATGTTTAAATAGCATATTTACCTGTATAGTTACCTCTCCTCCACACTCCTACCCTATTCTAGTTTGTATCATAGTTACATTTGCTGCTTCCACCCTTCTCTTTGAACACTGCAATGCACATTCTTTCCTGTTATCCTGTAGCTAGTTGCATGTTAACTAACTGAGTTACTTTGTGTTTGTATCATTATGTAATTAATGCTTTCCGGAGTTAGAAGTGACCTTAGTTTTTTATATCTACCTCTTATGAATCTTATATATTTGGCTTTTCGAGACAGGGTTTCCCTGTGTAACCCTGGCTGTCCTGGAACTCATTTTGTTGATCAGGGTGGCTTTGAACTCAGAGATCTGCCTGCCTCTGCTTCTTGGCTCATATATTTTTTTAATGTGTAGCTTATATTCTTTGGGATTTTAACCCTTCAGACAAGATATGCTATTCACCTATGAGTAGGTTCAAATGTATACAATAATGACTTTGCTTTGCAGTATATTTCATCAGATGTGTGGTACCTAGCTTCTGTTTCTGGCCCTGCAATATAGTGGTTTTCCTGGGCTACCATAATCTTGTATGAATTCCTTTGTGTCTCTCTGATAAAGAATAGCTTGTTTTCTAGACTCAAGATTTTATCTTCCTTGAAGTCTCTATCATATTTGTAGAACACCCCTTTCAGTATGTCTAGACAATATTTTAACCATCACACTTGGTTGATGGCTTCATTTGTTACTTTTAGAATTTTAGAGGCATGGCTCCAATGTTTCTGTTGTTATTGTTGAGAAGTGTCATGCCAGAATGATAGCCAATTCTGTTGCTTTTCTCTGGAAATATATTTACTCAACAGTATACCTTATATGATAGGTGCTGATAGAGACACTGAATATTGGGCTAGAGCAATGGCTCATCAGTTAAGAGCACTGGCTGCTCTTTAAGAGGATCTGGGTTGAATTCCCAGCACATGTGTGTGTGGCTCACAACTGCCTATAACTTAATTCCACGGGGTCTGACACCTCTTCAGCTATTCATGTGGTTCACAGACATATGTGTAGGCAAGTCACCTATACATGTAAAATAACAAAAAAAAATTGGGAGGGGGGAGACACTGAATTTATGAGTGAATAAAATACTAGGCCCTATCCTATGGATGTTTAAATTTCAAGAGAAAGTTACTCCAGATGGTACAGTAAATGTAACTTAAATAACCCCCTGCAAGGACATAAAGTTAGGAGTTACTGTAGGTAACAGAAGAGTCTGTGCTTGTGTGCCTTTTGCTTTTAGTCTTAAACGCTTCCAAAAGTTAGTACATTTCCTTCTCCCTCCATTCCCTGTAATGGCATTGTTTCATACATTTGTAATAACTTTTGACTCTTGTTGCATTCAGGATTTCATTCTGGGATCCCTGATTTTAAAAGTCTTTTGGTTTTTGTCAAGATCTTACTCTATAGCCCTGGCCTGGAACTTACTGTGTAACCTCGACAGACCTTGAACATGCTGCAATCCTCCCGTCATAGATTCCCAAGTGCTAGAATTACAGGCATGAGCCACCATGTCTAGCTAGTACTCTTTTTCATTGTGTACATTGAGGTGCGTTCTTTGTGGTATAAAGGTCTATAGGTGTTTTCAAGTGCGTTTTCTCTTAGTTTGCCATTGCAGTGTCATAGATGTAGCTTTATTCCCATGAAGCATCTATTGTATTCTCCAGCCCTCCTGAGTTCTATACCATTGGTAATCACTGGCATGTTCATTATCTCTATAGTCTTACTTTTCCAGAATGCTATGTAGTTGGGTCATAGAGTAAATACAGAGTCTTTTTTTAGCAGTATGTGTTTGTCCTGTATTTTTGTGACTTGGTTAACACATTTCACTAAATAATAATATGCACCATGGTTCTTATATCCGTGTGGCAATCAAAGACACATGGTTGTGGTTGCTTCTACCTTTTGGCAGTTGTGAATGAAGTCACTCGCATGCATTGTCTTCCAAGTAGTGGTGTACAGCTGTAACAGAAACACTAGAGAAGTAAAGGTAGAGGGTCAGGAGTTCAAAGTCATCCTTGGGTATATAATTAAAAAAAAAATATATATATATAGTTAAAGGCATTCTGGGCTAGATGAGACCCTGTCAAAAATCTAAACAAATAAAAACAATTTTTAAAAAGGAGCAAAACACATACAAATATATGAGTGCCAGTAAGGTGGCCTAACTCACAGAGATCCGCCTGCCTCTGCTTCCCAAGTGGTGGGATTAAAGGCGTGCGCCACCACCACCACCACCACAACCCTGCTCCTAACACTCTATAGTTTTAATTTTTCTATTTCTAATTTAGGATAATTGGTTTTTCAGTATAGTTGCCCAAATTGAAAGTTTAAACTGCTGATTTTCAAGTTTTGTTTCTTTTTAATGAATACATTGAATCCTGTTACTACTGTGTCTGATGAAAGAACCGTTTTTCTGAGTCCCTCCAGCCTCTATGATTTTAAGATCAGCTGTTGTCCCTATGTTCCTTCCTTATGGCTCTGTGTTCCTGTTTTGTAGTTGTGTAAGAGTTTCTTTCTCTTAGCATATGTCTTGGTGTTTTCTTATTTCCTGCATTGTTTCTTCCTCTAAATTCCTTTCATTGGCTTTATATCTGTGTTTTGTAACATTTTTATGTGTATAATGTAATGATTTATTTGAAAATGGAAACAAGAGCCAACAGGCTTTATTGAATTGAGATGCCATAGATTGTTATTAAAACTACTTCTGAAATGTACCTTGGTGTAAGCTTGCTCTGAGCATAATTGTAACTTTGAAATGACCTTTTCTCTCTGGCTGCTTTTTGGAGTTCAGTTGTTTCCCTGTAATGTGCTTGAAAGTGTGAATTTCTTTTTTATTGTGATATGCTGTATTTTTGTTTTGTTTTTTGTGTCTCAATGATCCCATAAAAGAGAGCGTAAGCGGGCAGGGGTCAGTCCTTTAAAGGGGTCCTTTGCACCTGCGTGGTTCTCACAGAACTCTGGGCTGGCCAGAGTGCTGCCTGAGTGCATCTTGCCAGGTAACAGGGCAGGCCAGCATAATGCCTGAACCTTTCATTCCCACCTTTATTTATGATTTAAAAAGAGATGGGGGTGTTAGATGTGGCAGGTTCAGGAATAAGGACGTTGAGTTCTTAAGACTGCTTCCTGCTGACCTGGGGGCATCGATCATCTTTGGGGGAACCTGAGAAAGTTGGGGTATTGCCACACTGGTTGTTCTATTGTAGTCCAGGCTGTATGGGACTCTCTGCAGTCCAGGCTGTATGCGACTCTCTGGTGCCTCTGTAGATCTGGCAAGATGTTAGCAGAGTAGAGGACAAAGTTAGGTTTAAAATTTTATTTCTTAGGTCCTAGTATTTGAGGGGAAGATTGTAAGATGAGGGAGGGGCTTCCAAGGGGTCCCAAGATGAGGGAAGGGAGTCCCAGGACCAGGGAGAGGTTGAATAATATCTGGAGTGAATCTGACCTGTTTGGATGGGTCCAATTTGGCTTTCTGGAACTTACAAGAATCCTTTGAGTTTGTGAAAACCTAATTATTAGACATATATGCTGTATTATTTTTATCTGTTCAATTTTTTTGTGAATTCTGGAAAAATTCCTGGCATTGACTTCAAAAGAAAATTTCCCATACTCTTTTCCCCTTAGGGAACTCTGTTCTCGTTGTATTGTTGAATTTCTTTTTTGTTGTTGTCGTTGTTGTTTTTTGTTTTTTGTTTTTCGAGACAGGGTTTCTCTGTATTGATTTGGAGGCTGTTCTGGAACTCGCTCTGTAGACCAGATCTCACAGAGATCTGCCTGCCTCTGCCTCCCGAGGTCTGGGATTAAAGGCGTATGCCACCAACACCCAGCTATTGTTGGATTTCTAAATTTCTATTTTATATGTATCTCTTCCTCATTTCTCTGTGCTTTTTTTTTAGGTGTTATCTCTCACTGTGCTCTTCATTTCTGAATCACCTGTAGCCTTAGTTCAATAATAACAAGTTCTTAAAAAAAACCTTACATCATTCCTGCTCATTCTCTATGCCAGGCAAAATTTGAATGTTCTTAATTATCATGTCCTTTTGTTTATATGTATTCTTACAAATTTTGCATAGCTTTATTGTGCTTTACAAAAATGATAGTTGGCAGCACTTGGGAAGGCCTTTTTTTTCACCCCCCCCCAACAAACTGATCATTTACCACAGACAGCTTGAAGAATATAGTCTTCTACTTTTTGGATTAATTTGTATGGTTGCTTTTTAAAATGCTATTCAGCTGTCTTATACAACTGAATTTCCTGAAAACATAGTTTTCAGACTCAGGCTCATGTTCTGTGTGATGTGTTCTTCCACAAAGTTGATGGCAAACTGATGGCTGGATTGTAGTGTATTGACACAACCCTACATCATAAAGTCCCTATCAGACTTTTTCTCTAAAGGTTTAACATCCATTGGTAACAGTTGCTTAGCATTAATTGCATTAAGAGCCATGAAAAGTTTTTTTTTTTAAGTTTAAATCCTTCTTCACATATTTACTGGAATTCTTACCTAAAGAATGTTCCCTCAGTAACCTATAGTGATATCTAGAAGTGTATTCTGTAAATGAGTGAAGGGTTCTCTGCTAATTTTCTTTAATTCATTAATTTTTAGAGTAATAGTACCCTAGCAGCCCTCCACCAGGTGGGGTTCTTTGTTTTGAGTTTAATGTTATTATGATTGCTTGGTTTTTAAATTGGATTTGGTTTGTTTTCATTTCTGTGTGTTCTTCATAGTTTTGATGTTCGTTTATCCCATTTAAGCAGAAAGAGCCCCTTAACTTGGGTTCTTCCCTTCTGATGTTGGTCACTGGTAGAGACTTGCTGTGTCTCAAGCACATTTGGTTTCTGCCTCTGCTACTCAACAGATCTTTTCATAAAGCTAACTTTAGTTTTCTGTTTGTATATAGTATATTTTATATTACTTAACTTTTAATATTTAAGTATTTGTAGCCTTTCACTGTTAGTCTCTGACTCATGAGTTATTTAGGTGAGTGTTTTAAAAAATTCATAATATTGGACTAGAGAGAAAGATTGCATGCCATGCAGAATTAGGACATGAGTTTGAAGTTATAGAAGCCATGGTAAAGCCAGGCATGCTGTGTGTACCTGTAACCCAATGGTGTGGGACAGGTAGATCCTCAGAGCTTGCTGGCCGACCCACATAGATGAAATGTTCTCTGGGAGACCTTTTTTCTTTCTTTTTTTACATTCCAATCCTAGTTCCTCCTCCTGCTCCCTCCTCTTCCCCCCTCCCATCTGCTCCCCAGAGAGGGTAAGGCTTCCTCTAGGAAGTCTACTAAGTCTGCCCATCATCTCATTGAGGCAGGACCAAGGCACCTCTCCACCACCCACACTGTGTGTCTAGGCTGAGCAAGGTATCTCTCCATATAGAATGGGCTCTACTAAGTCAGTTTGTGCATTAGAGTTAGATCTTGGACCCACTGCCAGTGGCCTCATATAATGTCCCAGTCACACCATTGTCACCTATATTAAGGGAGTCTAGTTTGGTCTTATGCGGGTTCCTCATTTGTCAGACTGGAGTCAGTGATTTCTCACTAGTTTAGGTCAGCTGATTCTGTGGGTTTCCCCATCATGGTCTTGACTCCTTTGTTCATATTATCACTCCTCCCTCACTTAGATTGTACTCCAGGAGCTTGGCCATTGGTTAGTTGTAGATTTCTGCATCTGCTTCCATCTGTTTCTGGAAGAGGGTTCTGGCTTCTCTGAGGTTGTGGGTTGTAGGCTGCGGGAGACCTTTCTTAAGTCAGTGAGTTGATAGTGACAGAGAAGATATGCATTGTCCTCCTCTGGTTTCTCCTCTTGCACACTTATGTGCATGCATCACACTCAAATGCCCTCTCTCCCATACAGTAGCTCGTCTGTGCAGATGTTGTATGTAAAAGTTGGCTTTCTTGTCACTTTCATGGAGAGAGCATTTTCAACCTATGTTATGGAAAAGAAGTACTGCTTATTTTTACTTTTTATTTGTTTGTTTATTTATTCATTTGGCTTTTCAAGACAGGGTTTCTCTGTGTAACAGTCCTGGCTGTTCTGGAAATCACTTTGTAGACAGGCTGGTCTGGAACCCGAAGAGTTCCTACTGAATGCTGGGATTAAAAGCATATGCCACAATGCCCAGCTTTAATTTTATTTTTGTTTCTACTTTGATAGTTGTATTGGTACAGAATAGATAGCATAATATTTGCATGGTAGAAAATTATTATAATATTGTAACTTTTATTTTCTAGGTTACAAGAATTAAATTCTGAGTAAGCCTACAGGTAGGATGGACAGTTACTTTAAAGCAGCTGTCAGTGACTTGGACAAACTTCTTGATGATTTTGAGCAGAACCCAGGTTTGTTGTTTTTTCTACTTTGCTACTAGAATCTTAAAATGTTCCTTTAACAAACAAAATTTGATTTCAGTCTTGGTCACATTGTTATGTTATGTTAGCTAGGTTTCTATTGCTGTAATAAATACCATGGCCAGAAAAGCCTTGAGGCCGAAAGGGCTTGTTTCACCTTAGGGTATATATTCCACCATGAAAGGAAGTCAGGCAGGAGCTGAAAAAGAACCGTGGAGAAGTACTGCTTAATGGCTTGTTCCTCATGGCTCACACCTTGCTCCTTTATACAACCCAGAACCACCTGGTCAGGAGTCATCCCACCCACAGTGGGCAGGGGCCCTCTCACATCAATCATTAATCAAGGTAATGCTCCACAGGCTGGCCTAGAGGCCATATGGTGGAGGCATTTTCTTAATTGGGGCTCCTCTTCCCAGATGACTCTAGCTTGTGCCAAGTTTACAAAAAAACAGTCAGGACAATGACAGAACAAAAATAGTTTAAGAAAAGATAGCTCTTCAGCCTCTTCTGGTTTGGTTTATAATGTAGCTGAGTTATAGATGGGATTTCTTTAATCTTATGACAACCGTATTAAGTAAAAACTGCAACAGTTCAGAGCAAATAAGAAGTTGATTGAAAGTCCTAGAAAGCATATCTTTGTAATCTTTATTTGATTTGGGTCTTCTGAATAGCCTTGTATCTCTATTTTTTCACTAGATAAACAAGATTATCTCCAAGATGCACAGAATGTATATGCTTCTAACCACTGTTCAGTTTCTTCAGAGCTGGCTTCTCCGCAGCTAGCTTTACTGTTGCCAAAGGACCAAAGATGCATTGGTAGTTGTGCCTCATCAGAAACAGGCTATGAAGCAAATGAGACTTTCCTCAACAAGAAGACACATGAGGGGCTAACTTCTAGACAGAATGAAAAAAACGTAACAGGACTAGATCTTCTTTCTTCTGTAGATGCTAGTACTTCAGATGAAATCCAGCCTTCATGTATGAGAAGATGTAGTAAACCTGTCTGTGACCTGATAAGTGACATGGGTAACTTAGTACATGCCACCAATAGTGAAGAAGACATTAAAAAGTTATTGCCAGAAGACTCTAAGTCTAGTGGAGATGCTTTGATTGCATTGGATTTATCTTCAGTTTCAGATACTCTCACTGTTTCTTCTCTAGACCATGGTAGTAATGCTGTTGGAGAAGAACAGAATGACATCAACTGTGACCTAAAAAACAGAGATGTTAGTAGGATTAAAGAATTGGGTTTAAAAGTAGACACAGCACTTTCTGATTCTTGTAAATATAGTGGAACAGAAAATTTAAAGGATGAAAAGGTCTCTAATGAGTTAGAAACAATTGATTTTGACATTTTATCTGCTTTGACTGAACAAAGTTCTGAAACATCTAATAAGAGGCTACCATGTGAAGTTTTAAAAGACGATGGCTATTTGGCAGAAGAGAGAGTGGATGTATCAGTCATAAATACAGAGTGTGTAGAAGAAGGAGATAACACAACTGCTATGCCTTACAATCTTCCAGAAAATCAAGGGATATGCCTAAGTGACACAAATTCAAAAGATGAAAACTTCAAGTTACTTGACTCTTCCTTCCAGGAAAACAGAACTGCTGTGTTTATGAAACAATCTCTAAAAAAAGACTCAAGAAATTTAGACCTTAAAGATAATAATGATATAGTCCAGATTTCTTCTTCATCTTTACATGTTTCAAGGGAAGATGTACCCTCTTCACTTTCCTGTTTTTCATCGTCTGAATTTTTGTGTGGACCGTTAATTGATAATAATGTGCATGGTGATTTTTTACCTCCTGATGAGTCTAAAGATCAGAAAGATGTAATGGCTGTCCTTAAAGATATACAGAGGAATGCTGTTTTAGATGGGGAACTCTCTAGGGAGGCAGATCTTTTGAAAGAGGAAAAGTGTAAAAGCATATTTCTTCATCCAGTAAAGGAAAAGGAGGAAGATGGGAAGCTTGAACCTGAGCAGATGGTAATCCCTGGTGAGTCTTTGGAGTCCCCTGAGGATACCAGCTCTTCTGCAGCTGCAGAGTCTCAACTGGCACTGTGTGCTTCGAATGCCCCAGAGTCTCCTGATGGATGCGAAGGTCTTACCTTTGCCAGCAGTGATATGGATGGGCAGGAGTTAGATTACTTCAATATTGATGAAAGCATAAGAAGTGGCACATTAATCAGTGATGCTGAACTTGATGCTTTCCTAAAGGAACAGTGTCTTCAGAACTCTAACACAGTGTCTTTTGAAGAAAGTGTAAATGATTCACAGTCTCAGATGAATCAGATGGATATGAAAGGATTAAATGATGAAAATGCCAGTGATACATATTTCAATGCTGAAGCTGGAGCTGCTGTTGAAAACGGTGGTATTGTGATTTGTGAAACAATTGATAAAGAAAACACAGTGGAAAATGGTGGTCCTTTTGCAGAAAGTACAGTTCCAACCAGTAAGTCTGACATAGTGAACAGATTGCTAGTCCCTAGTATTAACACCCAAGCTGTTGGAGGGGCCAGACCTAAGCAATTGCTTAGCCTTCCACCAGTAACAAGTTCTTCAAAGGAAATGAACAAGCCAGACATCCAAGATGTGCCAGAGAGTGAGGCAAGCATGGCAGATGCCGTTGCTGTGTCCACTCACTCTGCTGACCACACACCTGATTCTCAGGTTAGCTTCAACTCCAATTACATTGACATAGAAAGTAATTTTGAGGGTGGATCTGGTTTTGTAACTGCAAACAAGGATTCTCCGCCTGAAAACATTTGCAAAGAAGGCTTGGTTTTGGGCCAGAAACAACCTGCTTGGGTTCCTGATTCAGAAGCTCCAAACTGTATGAACTGCCAAGTCAAATTCACTTTTACAAAACGGCGACACCACTGCCGAGCTTGTGGGAAAGTAAGTTATTAAAATGTTGGCTTTTTATTATTTGTTCATGGCCTTGCTATTAAAACTAGGTCCTCTTACATCAGGCAAATTCTGAGTTACTTCGTTATCCTGTTAGGTCAGTGATTCTCAACCTTCCTAATGCTGTGATCCTGTGATACTTTAATCCTTTCTCATACTGTGGTGACCCCCAAACATAAAGTTGTTTGCTGCTACTTTATAATTGTAATTTTGCTACTGTTATGAATTGCAATGTAAATATCTGATATGCAGGATATCTGATTTGTGACCCCAAAGGGTTGTAGCCTACAGGTTGAGAACTGCTGCTCTATTTGTTTGTGCTCTCTAATATTGATAAACCAGATGTTCCAAGCTCAGTGGGTCCCCTTTGTCCTTAAATACTTCACCTTAAGACCACTTTGCAGCCAGGTTCCTGATCACTGCTGAGGAAATCACTAAAATGCCAGTTGGCTTGTTTGTGTTCTTATTGAGGATAAATATATTGTCTATAAACTCTAAGGAAATTGTCTTTAAAAACTGATGTGCTTTTTACTTAGCACTTTTCAGTTATATGTTGATTTGGGATCAAACTACTACATCTTAGCAAAATAATGTTGTACTTGTGAAAACCAGGTCTGTGTAAATTGTAGGCAAGCTCAGCATCACTAAGTTATATATTTAGCTGCTACAGGAAGCTTTTTAAATCATAGACATATTTATTAAAGAAAATTTTTATTGCCTTTCAGTTAACATAATTGATTAAAAAATATTTCCTTATCAGAAATATGATTATAAATTACAAAACATCCCTTGTATTAGGGTTCTCTATAAGAACAGTTGGCATATATTTTTTGGATAAATATGTATGTATATATGTAATTATAAAGGGATTTATTAGATTTGATGATAGGCTCATTAGTCCAGCAGTGGTTATCTGATGTGTAGGCAGATAGTGCAGTCGCTGCCTAGTTGAAGACACCGGAAGCCTCTGAGAAAAGTGGTGTGAAGGCCTGGGGTCCCTGGAGAGTCGACGGTTGTCCATGAATGATGACAGCAGCAGTAGATGCAGGAGGAATGCAGCTGGTCCTCACTGCTGCCTTTCTCTTCCACTCTATGCTTGCCAGGCTTCCAGTCTGTTGGGCATTGCTGCTCAAATCCAGGGTATGTCTTTGTCCCTTACTTGTTATTCTGCTTGCCAGTCTTGTCTGGAAACACCCTCACAGACATAACCAGAACACCTGGACATCTCTCTTTCCACTTGATATTGGCAGTCAAGATTAATTATCATGCTCATTTAAGTTAAAGAACATTAAATTTCTGTTTATGATTATGGTGATTAGAAAAATGAATCATATAATAAAGGTTTCAGCTTATTAGGTTTTGAGCTCCTCTCCCCTGCTTCTAATAAATATACTTGAGACAAAAACAAATGTAGTATCTTATTCTTTATAGGTATTTTGTGGTGTCTGTTGTAGCAGGAAATGTAAGCTTCAGTACCTAGAAAAGGAAGCAAGAGTATGTGTAGTCTGCTATGAGACTATTAATAAAGGTGAGTATTAACCTGACATGTTTTCTTCCACTAAATGAATATATATTAAAAGTAACTTGATTGTGACAAAGATAAACTTCTTTATTTTCTTAAGGCAAGGACCTAGTGTTGACTTATCTGGCTTAGGTGGGACATCCCAAGGCTTGGTTTCTCTTTTTGTTCTACTCTCACAATTAACACTACCAGTCTGGAAGGGAAGCGTTCAGCTTCTGGAGTGGCAGTTCCTTACCTTTTAACAGGTACTAAGTTCCTAAGTGCTGCATTTCATCCCCTACTGTTCCATTATCCCTGTCGTCCTCATCATCTCAATGGAAACATCCATACAAGTAGCTACTGGTTCTCAATATTAATGTTAATGTTAAAGGCAAGTAGTAGTTCTTATCCTTTAGATAGTTGCCTGAAATGAGAGTAAGAGATAAGGTATTATATATGATTTTATAAACTCAGAGGACCACCATGCTGTTTGCACATTTTGGTCTCATCTTTTTCCATTCTCAGTTTTAGAATGTTATATGTGTGTGTTCCCATTGTTTCTTGGCTCTCTAGCTAGTTTCCATTTTCAGCAGTGGTCTTCTTTGAGTTCCCACAGGTTTTTTGTTGTTGTCTGGTGGTGGTGGAGGGGTGTGTGTGTGTGTGTGTGTGTGTGTGTGTGTGTGTGTGTGTGTTATGCTGTGTTTTCACCCCTAGATACATGTCTGTTCTTTTGAATAGTTCTTGCATTTTCAAAGAATTGTTGACAGTTTAATTCACAACAAAAATTACTTGACCCTTTTTTGACCAGGCCTATGAACTAGCTCCTATTAGCCAGGAGAATAAATACCTGATAATAATTTGTTTTTCTCTTTTGAATGAAGATAAATTTTTTCAGCAATTCTCCAAAAAGCTCTGATGTGAGTCTGTTAGCCTGAGGTAAGCTGCTCTACTCCCTGATGTTGACCTATGCTCTGGAAGATAATAGAATATAATTAAAAAATATTTTTTATGTTATTACCATTGTTTAAGAAGCTACGTGCTTATAATTGTTTTTCTTCTTGCAGTGTATCTGTAGCCTAGAAGACAGCTGCCAAGACTATTAGCCTAAGCAGTTTGCTAGAATTCAATTTTTAGGGCAAGTTCCCACATAAAAGTTCCTACTTAAAAAGCCATGAAAATTTGAGTTAACAGGTCAGATTTCGGGACGAGATATTCTGACTATACAGTCCAAGAGAGAGAAAGATATGCTCATTAAAGAGACTTAATAGAATACTGAGATACAGTTTTGGTCTATCAATGCTATAATGTAGAGGAATAGAAATGTAGCTCAATGGTAGAGTGCGTGCCTAGCTTGCCTAGCATGTACAAGACCACAGTTTAACTCCCATTAACACACACACACACAGAATGAATTTATTTAGATACTTGTTTTTATTCTATTTCAATATCTTACATTATTTTCGTTTAGTGGTTATATATTACAAGAAAATGTCAACTATAGGCTAGAAAATGATGGAAGTAATCATTTAAACATCAGATACAAAAAAGATGATTCAATGTTTGTATGATGAAGTCAGTGAAGGAATGGAAGAAAAGATTGAATAGAAATTGTGGACAGTGAGAAAGTTGCTGAGATTGTGTGAGTTTCATCAGCATGTGAATGCTGTCTGGTAGATGTGGAATCTAGAATGTAAACTGTGTGGATTTTGCTGGTTAGTGGAAACAGTTTCCAAGAGTGCCATCATGGAGTGATATTAAGGAAGACTGTAGCTGTGATAGCACTCATGGTCATTCGGTTTAGAGACGTGCTGAAAGTGTCATTGCCAGTACTGTTCTTTTTATTGAAAGATTATTCAGTGATATCCAGCACTATTCTGTATTCTGGAGTTCCAGCTGAGAACAAAATAGATGTTCTGTTGATGGGGAATTTTTGAATGTGGAGATAAGGGGATAGTAAACAGATGGTAATAATACCCTAAACTTAAAATGTACAAAGGCAGAAACAAATTAGTGGCCATAATAATGCGCTTTAATAATATGATGTGTGAGTAGAGACTTGAAAGAAATAGACTGGATCTGTGTGAGAACCTGTAGAAGAATACTCTAGGCTGAGGGAGAATAGACAGCCCAAGCTTTACTTGTGAACCTGAAGAACAAGGAGGCTCAGGTCACTGGTTCCTGGTGAGTCCCTGGGTTGTACTGAGAGACGAGACTAGGGATGTAGAACCCACTTAACCTGTCAGACAACTTAAGTTTTACTCTAATTAGAAAACCATAAAGGATTTAAACTGAGTATTAAGTAAATAATTATTTAGGTCTTAAAGAATCACTCTAGAGCATGTTGCTAGTAGATTCTAGGAGTAAAAGGACAAAAAAAAAAGATTCATACTCAATAAAGATGATTTTCTGTAGTAGATACCAAGCATACACCAATTAAAATATTGAAATAAATCGTCTATAACTTGTCAAAAGGAGCCTGTATTAGTCACTCGGACATCTTTGTCAAGTACCACTTTCTCTTGATTGGCCGTTTATTTCTTTCTCCTTACAACTTGAAAAATCAAGTATTTATTATAGCTTTCTTGGAAGTTTAAAAACATGAGTTTTTAATACTATTCTTTCCCCCTTTATAGCTCAGGCATTTGAAAGGATGATGAGTCCCAGTGGTTCTTGTCTTAAGTCTAATCATTCTAAAGATTGTGTCACCACCCAGCCACTTCAGGAGACCCACACATCCAGCATACCTTCACCTACAACTTTGCCCACCTCAGCACTGAAACAACCAAATGTTGAAGGTAACCAGAGTAAATTACTATGGTTTACACTTGGGATTAGTTATTCAAATAGAACTACTCTGGCTGTCAGAGGCTAGACAGGAGAGAAACCAATTAAGGTCAAGAGGGATGTGTACAGGGAATTGGTTAAACATATATGTTGGAGACTGGAGACCTGCTCAGGAGTCTTATAAACAAACAGCTGCAGGAGGCAGCTGCCACCACCACTAGGACTGCAGGATGAAAAGGAGAAAGCAATAGTAGCACTTAGAGAGGGCTTTCTGGTGGTGCTCAGCTCTCAGACATGGGGGTTAGGGGCTAAAGCACCATATGTCTGAAGCTGTGATCTCTGGGAAAATGCCATATGACAAATACTGGAGGCATCAAGGAAGTCTCTTATGGCTATTGCTCAGGCAACTGAGGGAGAGTCTAGAGTTAATGTTATGAGTGATGAAAAATTATGGGACATGCAACATATCTGCTGCTGCTACTACTACTACCTGCATAGGGATCCTGCAACAAGGAAGGAGGGCAGGAAGAGTCCTTTCCCTTTCCACATTTGGTCTCCCTCTCCCACCACTCCCTACAACTGGCATAATGTGATCACAGTCAGTCAGAAAGCAAAGACTGCTAAGATTGTACTTTGCACATTTGCAACGTAGCACTCAAGAGCTCAGTGTAGTACAAGGGTTTGGGTTCTAGTGATAACAAGTAAATAATCCTTTAATTGTATATTTTACCACAATAACAAGCTATTATTTATTGTCTTTAGTTTTTAAGACTCAGGCTAGTCTCAGGTTCTGAACTCAAGGGACCTTCCATGAGTCATTGGTTACAAAATCTACTTTAAACCTTTACATTGTTTGCTATTGTTCTAGCTGTGGCATTTTCAATCTCATAGAGGGCCAGCATATATTTGCAGACATTTGTTTTGGAAGTAAAAACTGATATTTTAGAAAATAACTGTACATATCAGATAAAGATAAATTTGATTCTTCTGACATTTTTGGGGGGTAGATTATCACTCAATAGCTATTCTCTATTTATAATCACATACGAATAGAGATGGAGTTATGCAATTAGGTATTTTAACCCTAAAGATAATAAATTTGTATCTAAAGTGATTTGTATGTTCTTAAATGAACAACCTAAATTATTATCAGAGTATTGTAAATGTAAGAAAGATACCTTGTTTAATGAACCCACTCATATTGCAAATACATATATCCATGTCTTCTCCATTTTGAAAAGTAGAGTGAAGCTGGGCATTGGTGGCGCATGCCTTTAATCCCAGCACATGGGAGGCAGAGGCAGGTGGATCTCTGTGAATTCGAGGCCAGCCTGGTCTACAGAGCAAGTTCCAGGACAGCCTCCAAAACAATACAGAGAAACCCTGTCTCGAAAAACCAAAAAAAAAAAAAAAAAAGAAAAGTAGTGTGAAACTACTTGTGTATTTTATATTGTTTTAAAATCATCAACTTTAATTCTCTTAACTTTCTATCTAGATACTTTGTAAAAACAACAAAAAACAAGTATTCTTGCTTATAAATAGACACTTCCTCTAGATTCGAGAGGAAACAGTCATGAGTATTTTTTTTTTCAGTCATGAGTATTAATAAGGTTCATGACCATATTGTAAGAACTACAGTGTTACTGTTTACATATTAAATTAAATACAAAAAGATCTTGTGAATGCATAAATGATCCACTTTCCTTTTCTTCACATGTTTTTCAGACTTACTTTTTTCTATTATATGTATGATTTTCTTTTCTTAGCTGTTATGCGCTGATCTCTGCTTTTTATCTCTGCATCTTACAGCCCTTAAGTTGTATTTAGTCACTGCTTGCTATGGTTTGGATATGACATTCCCCAAAGACAATGTGTTGAGGGCTTGGTCCCCAGTACATTGTTCAGATGCCAGGCTTCAGAGAAGTGGTTGGGTTTCTAGGGTTCTGAGCTAATCAATGAGTTAATCTATCGACGACTTCATCCTTGATGGTCTTATGAGAGGTGTTGGAACTTGAAGGTGGGGCTTACTTAGCTGGAGGAAATAGAGCACTGGGGACCTCCCTGGAAAGTCTGCATCTTGTTTTCCTTGTTTTGTATCTTTCTCTGCTTCCTGGCCACCATGAGGTGAGCAGCTCTGCTCTGTACATCTTCTCCACCATGGTGTACTGCTTTGTCACAAGTCCATGGGAATGGAGCCAAGTCACCTTGGACTAACCCCTCTGAAACTATGAGTCAAAAGGCTTCCCTTTAAGTCATTTTCTTGGTGCTTTGTTTTGTCAATGGAAAGCTGACTTAACATGCTACAGCATGCATACTTCACTTCAATAATAGAGGCCTTATGTCTTCCCACTGTCCATAAGTATAATATTTCTCCTTTCCTTCCAGAGCATGTGACTCCCACGGCTAAAGCTGTTCTACTGCTCTTTCTTGGTGTGAACTAGATAGGCATGGACTTTGCTCAGGGTACATGAATTATGGAAGCCATTTTCATGCTCCAGCCCTGAGAATGTAGGACTTGCCATGAATAGCAAAAGGATTCTGAAAACATTAACTGACCCATTTGGAATTGTTTCACTGCAGTATTGTCAAAACTGAAGCAGTTCACCTTTCCAACTCATTTTAGGGCTGGGCTCCAAAGAACAGAAGAGAGTGTGGTTTGCAGATGGCATACTGCCAAATGGTGAAGTTGCTGATACAACGAAACTATCATCTGGAAGTAAAAAATGTTCTGATGACTTTAGTCCTGTCTTACCTGATGTGCCCACAGTAAGGAATCTATATAACTTGTGTTACATGAAATTTTATTTTGTAGATAATTCCTCATGTGATGCCTTCACTAGAGATATGTGTGTGCATATTTTGCTGTATTGTGTTTCCCTTATAGCACTTTGCAATCTGCATTATTAATGAGTTAAAGATTGTGGGAGTTATTGATGGAGCAGATATGTCAGCTTCAGTTTCCAACAGCTCAAAAAGGCTGTTCGTGTTTTTTAGTACTAAAGTGTTTTTAATACTTTTGTTTAGATATGTGTTATTGCACACTTGTTACCTGTGCTACAATGTAAACATAACGTTTATGTACTCAGACTTGCTTTACTATGGAACCTGGATTTCCTAAATCTGAGATATGCTTAGATTAATGTTAATAGATTTTAAACTTTACCTTTTGAAATATTTACTTCAGTTTTAATTTATGTGTATGTGTCTGTGGGGGTGTGTTCATGTATGTGCAGGCACCCACAGAGACCAGAGGGCAGTTATTCCCTGAATCTGGAGCTACAGTTGGTTTTGAGCCACCCATTGTGGGTGCTGGCAATCAAACTCTGGGCCTCTGCAAGAACAGCAAGCAGTCTTAACTGCTAGCCATCTATCCAGTTCCTGTTTTACTCTTCTTAATATCTGTTTCTGACAGTGAACCTTTTCATAAGCTTTAAGCATTACAGAGAACCCCAAAGGTTATGTTATGCAGGTTTTATGTATTTGTAATTTGTTTTTAAAACTAAGATAGAGAAAACTGAAGTATTTATTAATTAAAAATAATGAACCTATTTTATAAACTGTATACTATATAAGACAGTAGGAGATATCTTTTAAGAAAAAGGATATTTAAAATCAGATCACTTCAGCAGCAAGTGGCATTGTTTCAGGGTAGCCTCCATGTGTAGTGCGTTGTGACTTACTCTTTAGGGCTTTATGAAGAAAATCTAGGACTGCATTGTCTCTCTGGAAGGATGTTGTGGACTTCAGTAGTCCCTGGACTGCATTGTGAGAATCATAGTTTATTTTAGATTGATATTAACTTAATGGTTTCCATGCATTCAAAAAAGTATTTGTTGGTGATACTTTTGCTTCAGTTTACATGCTATACCTGGTGTAAGTAGAAGGCACATAGTATATACCATCTGCAAGTAAAAGGTCTTGAGCAGACAGGAGTAGTTACCAAACTACTAACTAAACCCTGTGCTCCTTAATGTGCTATGTCCCCGAATTCACGGAAGTCAAATGGTCTCTATCTCTTAGAAATTCAACCTTAGAAGAATTTAGGAACCTGTATTGGTTTCTTTTATTGTTATTAAAATATGTTTGGTTATAGAGGTCAGCATTTCATTCTTGAACGGAGAATGATTTATTTTTTCCCCTATTTCACAGATTATAAATACAGTGGATCATACCCATTCTACTCTAGTGGAAAAATCAAACCACGAAATAGGAGATATTACAAGACCTGAGATAACTCCAAGTCCTGTTTCTCATGTTACACCTGTGGGAAAACTGCCTCTGAGCACAGGCCCTGAAGGCTTGCCCATGCCTGGCCCTTTCACACTAGAAGATGATGTTTTTGTGGACAGTGAGGAGCCATCTGCTGCTGCTGCTGTGCCTGCTCATCCTGGTTTCCCTGTTGCTAATGTCTCAGACTACAGGGCATTGTGTGGCATTGCCACACGTGTCTGTAACAAGATTAGTCTTCTGCCTGAAGGTGAGGTTGGTTTGCCTCCCCTCCTGACCACATCTGGAGAAGAAGGATCAGGTAGGATAGTGGCTACTTAAAGTTGAAAAGGAATGCTTCATTTTGGTTTTTCAATGAAAGGTCTATGTAGCTGTGGCTGTCATGAAACTTGCTGTGTAGACCAGGCCTTTGAGAGGACAGATGTGAGCTACCATATCTGCCCCAGGAGAAAATAACCTTTTTAAAAGAACATACTAATTTTGTCTGTAGTATAAGAAATGCATTAAACTTAAAATTTTTGTTATGATTATAAAAGGGGTGATTAGTTTATAGAAAGTCTTACTTATACAAAATAAATACGAAACTATTTGAACTTTTGAGTCATTTATTGCATGTGGGTTTCTGACTTAGGATGAACTAAAGTCTAATACAGTAGGGAAACCCATGAGAAATATTTCTATTTGGGGTTTTTAACTCTAACTTTTATACTTTATTTATTACTTTTACAAAACGTGATTCTCAAATAGCATCAAATTCAGTGACAAAACCAGGAATTTTAGGTCATTGTTTGCTACTTATTTCATGTATGACTTTAAACATGTTATTTAATCATGCTGGGTCTCCATTTTTCTTGTAAAAAGTGAGATGAACTGAGATTATGATGTGTATTGAGTGTCTGTGTATGCCACAGCTTGTGTGTAGAGATTTAAGGATAACCTAGTGGGGTGAGGCTGTCTCCTTCCACCATAGGTTCTAGGGAATCAAATTTTCATAGCCAAGAAATGTAATCCACTAAGCCATTCTGCAGTCCCTAGAATCCATTTTTGATAAAAGTGTTTTTTTTTTACTTGAAAAATGCACAAATATATAAGTAAATGGTAATTGAATATATGTGTTCATATATATCAGAGTTATCTGTTCTATGTTAGTCGGTAGGAAGGTAAAAATGAGTATGTAACTATGGAACAGGCTGGTAATTCGTTTCAAGAAACATTTTGTTCTTGTTTAAATTTCATCAGTCTTTTATGGATTTATACATTTTTTAATTGTAAGCATATTTGAGAGGATATTTATCCTTATTAATATTAATATATGTCTGCCCTTTAGTGCCTGTAGTACAAGAACACCCATCTCATGAGCAGATCATTTCGCTTCTTGAAGGTGAAAGATTTCCTCCTGCAACATTTGTTCTAAATGCTAACCTGCTTGTGAATGTCAAGTTAGTATTTTGTAAGTAGAGATTCATTTTTCTGATTATTTTGCAATAAAGATATGTAAAGTAATTATATTTTCTTGTTGCATTTTGATTGACCATAGTGAAAAATAAAACAGGATTGAATTTTTTAAAGTCAAATGTAACTATAGATAATTTATATAGATTGGTGATTAGCTCAGACTTGAGGTTCTCCTGCCTCTCTACCTCTGGAATGCAGGGATTACAGGCATGCTCATCTTAGTTGAGGGGTTTTTGTTTTGTTCATTTTCCTTCTCCCTCTCTTCCCATCTCTCCCATGGTTATTTGGCTTTGGGCTTCAGGTATGGGATCTAAGCATTTCGCCTTCCCAGCCCAGCTGAAGAGCATTTTGATGTTTACTGTTAGTTGTCATCCTTCTAGATAAATTGAACTATAGTAAATAGAATCATGATTTGGTAACAATAAAGATTTTTTCCTCTTTTCTTTCTTTTTGACACAGAGACTTAGCACATATCCCTGACTGGCCTAGACTCACTGTATCAATCAGGCAGGCCTCAGACTTGTGACAGTCTTCCTTCCTCTGTTTCTCATTGCTGGGCCACCACATTTAAGGCATTTCTAAAGTCAATGATGTGACCTAATTAAAATAAATTAAGGAAATAAATCATCCTCAATAATAATCTTTACTACTCAATAATGCGCTAGTCTGTTTTTCACTCAGTGAAACAAATGCAAATCTTTCCAGCATTTTATTGCATCTTTTACTTTAGAGTTCTTACTTGACTCCTACGAGAGAATTTTTGGTTTTTTCTTAAATGAATCCGAAACACCTAAAGTTTTTATGAAGAGAATCTTTAAAATTTGATGAATTGTGTTTTATTAAAAAACAATGTTTAGTTTTTAAATTTAAAAAATTGACATTTATAGTTGTATGCCATTATTCTTCAAGATGCCTCAGATAAATATTGGTACTTCTCAACGAATGGATTGCATGGCTTGGCACAGGCAGAAATTATTATCCTGTTGCTATGTTTGCCAAATGAGGATACAGTTCCTAAGGACATCTTTAGACTGTTCATCACCATATACAAGGATGCTTTAAAAGGTATACTATTTAATTTTGAACTGCTGAGATTTTAGGGGATGGATAAAGTAGTGAAAGACATTTGTGTTTCAACTATGCTAATTATACTAAAGATTTATCTTGTGAAGATGTTGATGGTTTCTGAAAAAAGCTTAATCTCCATTCATTTCCTTAAATCTAGAATCTTATGTAATTAATGTTTCCACATAAATTTTTTATTTTAAAAATGGAAATACCTTTGCCTCCTTGATTTTTTTTCTTAATGTATCTATATACTTACCATCTATACTAGATGTGGGGGATGATTTTTCTTATTGCCATGCACAAAAGAGAAAAACAAGACTGGAAACATTTTCAAATTTTTATTACAGTTGCCATCCCAATCTCCAGGAGTGGCTTGGCTCTGTGCAGTGTTCACCAGAGTCTTCTCTTCCCCTTCCTCTTTCTTAATGTTCTTGTAGTGCTATGTCTTGAACCTAGGGTTTTGAGATATGTCATTCTACCAAAGAGCTATACCCCAATCCAAATAGAGGCTTCTTTGTGAGTAGAAATACAAAAACAAAAACATATGTTGTTTTTACTTAAAGAAATTTATATTGGGACATTCAGGCTCAGAATGATTCATCAAAATAATAACAACTTAAAATATTTTATTAATAATATTATTTCCAGGAAAGTACATAGAAAACTTGGACAGTCTGACCTTTACTGAGAGTTTTCTCAATAGCAAGGATCATGGAGGGTTCCTGTTTATTACACCTACCTTTCAGAAGCTTGACGACCTCCCAGTACCAAGGAGTCCTTTTCTCTGTGGTATTCTCATCCACAAACTGGAGATTCCATGGGCAAAGGTTTTCCCTATGCGCTTAATGTTGAGACTGGGAGCAGAATACAAAGGTAAGTTAGAGAATAATAATGTGTCCTATCTTCAAATATACTGATGATGAAACAATAGGTTCAGGGAAATTCTTTAAGTAATTTTTACTAGATTAATAGAACTACTTTGATGTGGTGGGATTTTAAGTTTCCAAGATAAGCCTGTTGTATCAAGTTAGGGAGACAAGTTGGTGTGTCATGAGCTGCCAGCATGCTCATAAATTATATAACTTACTGAGAATTTAACTGTAAGCCATCTTTTTGAGACAGGGCTCCATGTAGCTAAGGCCACTCTTAGTCATCAGGTCACTAAGCAGACAGCTGATGATGACCTTGCACTCCTGATCCTCCTGCCTCACTCCCAAGAGCTCAAACCACAAGCGTGCACCACCACACTTGATTTTACTTTCCTGTTCAAAAGAAACTTTTGTTAAACTCTTCTCAAAATCATGTATTATTGAGAGTTTTGTTTTAAGTGTGTGTTAGGCAAATTAGTGTGTGTGTTGTAGCGTGTCCCCCTCCCTCTGCACTTGCATCATAAATAAAAGCAGTGCTCCTTAGGTGTAGTACTATTGTGCACTTGCTGGTGTGGTCAAGGGTTGATGACTTTTAGAGACAGCATGTTAGAGAAGTGGTTGCCGTTTCCCTAGGTTTTACCTACCTCACTTGATTTTTATGTTCCTAATGGTTAGCTAATTACTCAAAAGTGCTACAGAATGTATCACCTAGATACATATGCTTGTGTATATTTACATGCTTGCTTTTACACAGCTGAAGAGTCTAACACTATTATAGTGGTTATTTTTATAGTGTGCACCCTAATGAGAAGGTAGATACTCAACAAGACCCTGTCTGCTCCCTTTTTTCTGCACTGGATCCTTTGACGCTTTATGTTCCTTTTATCATCATGACCTAAGAAGTATAAAAATATTTTACTGCTTTTGAGTGACCACAATGTAATAGTGACTAAATATTTCTAAAGCCTCTAATTTGGGGGCCAGGGTTATGGTTCAGTGGTAGAGTATTGACCTACACATAAAAGGCCAACACTACAGATGGAAACACCAAAATGCCAAGTTTTTTTCTGTTTCTCTGTAAATTAGAAAATTTTGTAGGGGTCAAAACAATTATTGTAATTTTTCCATTGGAAATTTTATGGAAACAAAATAAAACATTAAATGCTTTAGAATCAGAAAGACCTAGTTAAGTGAACAAGTTTATCTGTCTCTCAGTTTTCTTATTGCAAGTAGGTGTGGGCACCCTTGTTGTAGGATTTAAATAAGGCAGTCCATGAAAGGTTATCAGTTAGTGTAGCATCTAGCAGATGCATAGGCATCTTTTACTTTTCTCTGATACCTAACTGGGTGGTATTTGGTATTAATAATAAAACTCGGAGTCAGCTATCAGGGTGAAAGCTGAAAGATCAGAGAAGCAAGTGGCCAGCCTCTAGAGAGGTCTTACCTCTACCAATGCTCAGACCAAAGGGGTGATCCTGTCCTCAGACTTCTCAAACTGCATCCTCAGACTGACTGCCTCAGATGGCCATGAGTTCCTGTCTCCTCCTACCTTATATTCCTCTCTTGACCACCCATATCCCTTCCTGTCTCTACCTCCACAGTGCTGGGATCACCTTTGGGTGAACTCTGTTTCTCTTTTAGACAGATTAAATCTCATGTAGCCCAAGGTGGCCTTGAACTAACATAGATCCATCTGCCTGTGCCTCCTAAATTCTGGGATTAATGGTGTGTGCCACCATTGCCTGGCCTCTATGACTAACTAATGTGGCTAGCTTTGCACGCTGGTCTTCAGGTAAGCTTTATTTGTTAGATCGTAAACAAAATATCACCTCGGGCATTTATATGCAGCTTGTTTGAAATGAAAAGTAAATACCATAAACTTAGGACTTTCTGTTATTATTGATAGTGACCAATTATTCTTTTTTTATACGCAGCATATCCTGCTCCTCTAACAAGTGTCAGAGGCAGAAAACCTCTTTTTGGAGAAATAGGACACACTATAATGAACTTACTTGTTGTAAGTAACTGCGCTGTTGTGTTGTTTTTAAATACTGTTGCTTTAAACTTATTTAGTATATTTCACCTAGTTTTATTTGTTCATTTTAATTTGGAGTATTTGATATTTGAAGGTTACTTATAAAAAGTCCTAAGCCACTTAATGTAAATGAGCTCTGCTTCATTTTAGAATACAGTGTCTCCTGATTTATGTGTCCCTAATTCTGACTGCCCTTTGCTTAGCTTTACTGTTGCTTTTATGTATTGTCTTTTAGACAGATTAAATCTCATGTAGCCCACGGTGGCCTTGAACTAACTAACATAGACCCATCTGTCCTGCCTCCCAGGTTCTGGATTGCAGGTGTGTGCCACCATTGCCAATGGGAGACTTCTTCACAAACCTCTGAAATTGACAGAGCTTTAGTAAAAGTGTTAGTACAGTAAATCAGCCTTGTGATTTGAACAAATTATGATCTTGGTGTCTCCATGTGTAGTAGGAAAGCCTGGATAGGGTGATGTCTGAGGCTCCCTTCTTGTTACTATATGAAAGTAGTAAACTTACTTTCAATTTCCCATCTACAGCTAGCTTGAAGGCTCTCAGTTTTCTGTTACGTTTTCAAAGTATGGAGATAATCCTTGTAAAGAGAATAGTTTACTGTTGCTTCTGATTCAGAAGATTAGTTCAGGGTCACTTGGCAGCCTGAGTACTTGGTGGAGGAAGCCACTCTTATAGAGCCTGGGAAGCAAAGAAGGAATCTGGGAAGGGTTTAAATCCTACTTTTCCCTACAAGAGCATGCCTTCAGAATCCCAGGCCTTACTCCTAGACATTCTCCTGTCCCAGTAACACCATGAGATGTGAACAAGTCTTTAACATCTGAGCCTTTAGGAGCACTTATAAAAATAACTCTTGCTATTTGGGGAGAGCTGTGAAAGGAAAGGAGAGTGGACTCTAAACACCGTAGTTTTTTTTCTGAGAGTATTCTTTGTTACTTTTGAGTAGTAGTTGGAAGGATTAGTTTGTGGGTTTTTAATGGTAGGTGTTTTGTTTTTCAAGTTGGGATTGTTTCTGGGTAGCATTTTGATAGGACTCTGTCAGGAGGCTTAATCTACAGATACTGATGGGAATGTTTAGTTGATGGAACTGTGATCATTTTATGTAGGATCTTCGAAATTACCAGTATACATTGCATAACATCGATCAGCTGTTGATTCATATGGAAATGGGAAAAAGCTGTATAAAAATACCCAGGAGAAAGTACAATGATGTAAGTGTACTCTATCCAGATCTAAAGACAGTTGAACAATGGAGTTGCTGAGACTGCATTTTGCTGTTGTTGCTTTGAATGAAAATATCTATTTTGTAATAATATGTTTTTAAATTTTTACAATTGGTTTGTTAATAGAGAATTTGCTTGATCCCATTTGTAATGTGAGATTCTTGGCCCAACAGGTCCCGCTGCCCTTCTCTACCCCAAAGAAACACACGGACACTATATTAGTTATAAAGCTGTTGGCCATAGGCTTGGGCTTCTTATTGAGTAGCTCTGACTTAATTATTAACCTGTAACTACTAATCCATGTATTTCCACGTGGTCTTGGCTTGCCAGACCTGCAACTCCTTTGCCTGCTACATGATGATGGCTCAGCATCTCCAAAGAGAAGAGGGTGATTTCCTGTTTGTCCCTGCTTATATCATGTTACTGACCAGCTGCATCACTTTCTGCCTGTCTGTACAGACCTCCAAACCTCTGGTTAGCAAGTGGCAGTTTCTGCCTAGTTACGTCACTTCCTGGGATCACATGATGATGACTCCTCTCTGCCTACACTTCCCAGATTCCTCCTTATATCCTAGTCCCTCCTATCTTGCTGCCTTATTGGCCGACAGTGTTTTATTCATCAACCAATAAGACAGACATATCTACAGAAGGACTTTCCCCATCCCCTGTTTTTTTCAACCTTTTTATCATTTTATCTATTAATTGAGATTTTCTTTTTCCTTTTTTTTTTTTGTCACATTCCCAAAGGCTTGTTCAGACCAAAGCTTGGTAATTAAGAAGTTGGTCAATAATATAACTTCTAGGCTAGATATAAGTGTTCAAAATGTTTCTTAACAAATGTGATGTTTTTTTCCTCAGGTAATGAAGGTAATAAATTCTTCTAACGAGCATGTCATCAGCATTGGAGCTAGTTTTAGTACGGAAGCAGATTCTCATCTGGTATGTGTACAATGTGATGGAGTTTACCAAACTCAGGCCAATAGTGCTACTGGCCAGCCAAGGAAAGGTAATTTATGAAGCCCCACTTAAAAGATCCCTCCAAAAAGAAATAGATACCTTATTTCCTGAGTTAGTGATGGAGTGGTATTCTTAACATTTCAGCTTCATAAATAATTGATTGAAAAATTGCTTCTATTTTGTGTTTTTATTTTTGACTACATTAGATGTGAAGATTTAGAAGTCTATTCCAGATGTATCCATAGTGTGAGAATGTTCCTTTCTGTGATTTCTCTCTGGATGGGATGCTTTTACATTTGTTGAGTCTCAGCTCAGCTCCTGTTGTTTGGGGGCGGGGCACAAGGTGGACAAGGATGAAGGATGACTTACAAAGCGAAGAAACTGGGCATGCAAAAATGAAGATGGTGGAGTGAGCAGCCTCTGTGACAGTCTCCTCAGCTCTGGCTGCTGCCATTACCAGACTAAAGTTCAGTGATAGGTGGTTCATAAGATTGATACATTATCACAGGATAGCATTAAAATAGCCTCATGCTCTCACTGCTAATAATTTTTTTCTAATTGAAATGATGATGTTTTGAAAATCAGTGAAACAGGGGAGGGATGGAGCGATGGCTCAGTAGTTCAGAGTATCCACTTCTCTTGCAGAGGCCTGAGTTTGGTTCTCAGCACCCACATGCTTAAAACTACCTGTAACTACAACTCCAGGGGATCTGATGCCCACTTAGGGCAACTACATTCATGTTCACATACGTGCCCCCCTCACACACATATACCTAATTAAATATAAAGATAAACCTTTTAGGGCTAGAGAGAGAGTTCATTAGTTACGAGCATGTACTGCTCTTGCAGGGAACCCAGTTTGGTTCCCAGTACCCAAATCAGGCTTCTTATAACTGCCAGTAACTCTAGCTTCAGGGTATCTGATGCCCTCTTCTGGACTCTGAGGGTTCCTGCATCATACATAAAACACAGAGGGCGGGCGGAGGGAGGGAGAGAGACATTTTATTGTATTTTTTTGTTTCTTAATACATAGGTTGAATAGTTTATACTTGATGTTTACACTTTCATACTTTGCTGTTTTACTTACCATTAACTGACATTTTTGTCATTAAACTTTAAGATTTCTCTCTACGTGTGTGTGTGTGTGTGTGTGTGTGTGTGTGTGTGTGTGTGTACATGTGTACACATGGCAGTCAGGGATTGACATAGATAATTTTAGCTCTCACCATCTCAGTTTTCTAGCTAGGGTCTTCCTAAGCCTGAGCCTCCCAGTTCACTTAGACTCACTTGTAGCAGTAATTTCTCCTTGGCTGCCAGTCTGTCTTTCATCTTGCACCTCCCATTTCTGTTTCCTCTCCATGTCTCCTGGCATCCCTTACACGCCTGGATTCCTCTTCCTTTCTCTCCCTGGAAACCCCACCTCTACATCCTGCTTAGCTATTGGCTTTTCAGCTTCTTATTACACCTATCACAGCAATAAAACTTCACGTAGTGTACAAATAGCCTACAGCATTTCCCCTTTTTTTCTAAATAAAAAGGAAAAGTTTTAATGCTAACATAGTAAAACTGTATACAGTTAGAAAAATAGCAGGTAAGAATTACATTAGCCATGCCATGCCTAGTACATTTGTATTTGGCAAACTCAGAAACAGCACTTTACTATCTTTCCTGTCTTAATGAGTCCATAGTTTTATACCTAAACCTCTTTTTATCATAACTTTATTACCATCCTAAAAATACCTTCTTAGACCTTAAAACATCTTCTTAGATAAACAACTTAAGTTTCTATGTTTTTTAACCTTGTAAATTTAACATCTCTTATATACATTTCTTTTTTCTTTTTTGGATTTAGTATCAAGGAAAATCAACTATAAATATCTAGTCTTTAACCCCATTGAAGATCTGAGGAGGATATAATATTACCTGATTTAACAGGAAGAACAGAGCAAGCAACTTCCAAAACTATAGAAAAGACAGACAGCTGGCTGCCTGGACAGTCACCCAAGGTTCTTCTGTAACATTGGGACATCCATCTTTGGCCTACAAACTAGAATATCTGACAGACTTTTCTGTGAAGCAGGAATTTTGAAGGACTGTCTTACCTTGTCTTGGCAAAGTTTGACACTCACTTTCTTTTGTGTTCTGCTTGTCCAGTTTGGACAGCATAGTCAGCAGTAAAGGCAAGGGCAGTTTCTTGCCCAGTGGATGACTTTCACTACACAGGAAACAAACTTTATATGGAGTTTCTTGAATGCTCATCATCTTCTCTGAAGTAGATTGGTGCTGCCAAGCAGATGTGTCTCACTGCCATGAAAAGCCTTGTGTTATTAAAACATTTTAAATGCCATATTCTGTAGGTCTCCAAAGTGTTTGAAGACGATCTGTTTATCTAAAATATATCTCGTTTGACCTTGAAAACATACCTAACATGACTACAAGTTTTATTGTTAGATGATTCACTAGTAACCTACATTTCTTAATTATCCTAAACAGTTTTTAAATGAGCTGTATAGCTACAATACCTTAAAAAGAGTAGAAACATAAATGCAGTATAGCAAAAATAACCTTAAATTTGTATCAGTATACAAAAATCCATACCAATGTAAAATATTTAAGACTAGTAGTTGCCTTTTTAGTTTAAAAGTAGATTCAGTAATCTATCCTTTTATCCTATCTTTCTATGTCCCCTTTTTTCTTTTCAGAATAAGGTCTCTGAATCTAACCTTTACTTAGTTTTTCCTTGCCCATGACCAGTAACAACTTGCAACAACCCCCTAAATGATGACAAACATCCATAACCCACCAAATGACCAAAAACTACCCACTGTGTGTATGTGTCTGTGTGTGTGTCTGTCTGCGTGTGTGCACATGTCTGTCTGCGTGTGTGTGCATGTATGTCTGTGTCTGTGTGTGTGCATGTCTGTCTGTGTGTGTGTGTCTATGTCTGTGTGTGTATCTGTGTATCTGTCTGTGTGTGTCTGTGTGTGTGTCTGTATGTGTACCTGTGTGGGTGTCTGTGTGTGTATCTGTGTGTGTGTCTGTGTGTGTCTGTGTATGTGTGTGTGTCTGTGTTTGTGTATGTGTGTGTCTGTGTGTGTGTCTGTGTTGTGTGTGTGTCTGTGTGCATGTGTGTCTGTGTATGTGTGTGTCTGTGTGTCTGTGTGTCTGTGTGTGTGTGTCTGTCTGTGCGTGTGTGTCTGTGTTGTGTGTGTGTGTGTGTGTCTGTCTGTGTGTGTGCCTGTGTGTGTGTCTGTCTGTGCGTGTGTGTGTGTGTGTGTGTGTGTGTGTGTGTGTGTGTGTGTGTCTCTGTGTCTGGACTTGGCTTTTCTCCATGTCTGCAGCATCCTCTGCCCACCTGAACCAAGCCCTAAAGGGCCCATCTGTCAGCAGTGCAGTTGGCTTAGCACATGGCATGGCAGCTGGCTCAAGCCCACAGGCAGGAGCCAGGAGCTGCTCCTCTGTGGGCAATGAGCATCAGCCCGCCTAAGAGACTGTGGACTATCCAGAACTTTCCTTAGCTTTCTCAGGCCCCGTGTTTGGATACTCAAGCCCCACGCTGGACAGCATCTATAGTACGAGTTCCTCACGGCCCCAGCGTCTCTTGCGCCGTGCACCTCTGCTTCCTCTCCATGACTGCTGTGTCCTTGCTTGCTTCGGTTCCTCCTCCTCTTCCCTGTGTCCCTGGGAATCTTGCCTCCTGCCTAGCTAGTGGGCGTTCAGCTTCTTATCACACCAGTTCCAGCAGTGCACCTTCACACAGTGTGCAAATGTCCCCAGCACTTACTGATGACTCCCACGGTCTTCTTTCTCCATCTTCCCACAGACTGGGGACGTGAACTCCTGTTCCCATTCCTGTCCAGCAAGCACTTCGCTGACCAAGCCATCTTCATGGCCCCTAAAATTAGGGAGTTTTAGTATTTGGGTTTTTTTTTTTTAAGTATTTATTTGTTAATAGTGGCGCGTGTGTGTGTGGGGGTAAGATTCAGGCTATTTGTGTTGATGTTGTGGTGAAAAGGGTATTCTCTTAACCATCTAGCCATCCTCTTACAGAGCAACAAACCAGTTTTCTTTCTTGTATATCTCTCCAGAGACTTGTTTGTATAATGTATATATTCAAGCAAGTACCCGGGTATGCATACACTCAAGACATCTTTCTCCCAGTTTTTCAGATAACTTGTAACACATTTCATTGTGCACCTTGCCTTTTTATTTGTAACACTTCTTGGAGATTATTCTATGTTAGTAAGGAACTTTCATGTGTCTGTAACTTTTCATTTTGTAATTATTTATCGTTTAACTGTCTCTTATTGTCATAAATAACTACCATTCCTCAGATACTTATAAAATACTATTATGAATAACCTTGTATGCATACATGTTTTGTTCCTAGCGGTGAAATTAGTGTCAGTGGTTATATTTGCTTTTTGTGTGTGGTGTTGATGTTTATATCCATGTGTGCTTTTCATGTCTTTAGCTGCACATGTGCAGGTGTGCGTGTGGAGACCTGAGTTTGGTTTTGGGAACCCTATCTTCCATTGCTTTTCTACTCTGTTCACTGAGGCGGGGTCTATCTTAACACTTAACACTTGTTGATATTGTTAGTCTTGCTGGCCAACTTGGTCTGAGGAGTCCAAGGCTGGAATTCAAGCAGACTACCAGACTCGGCCAGGATTTACGTGGGTTCTAGGGATCTTAACACTGGCCCTGATGCTCATATATGAAAGCACTTTAACCACACTCCCCAACCCCTAAGGTTACATTCATTTGTCCCACGGGCACTCCAAAGACTTTTACATTTTGTGTTCACCTGCAGTGAATTTGACTCATGACACCCTCATTAACAAAAGCACAAACATTTTAAATAATACAGTAATCCATCATTAGATATGCTATTTTATACAATATTTTAATCTTGTGTTGGTTTTTATTGTATTTCTAATGTGTTATGAGCAAAAACTTTATTGAATACTTAAACTGTGTAAGCTTGACACTTTGAGTAATAAATATAGCATAAGATGAACAGATTAACCATATAACAATATTCATTATCAGTGACAGGAGCAAGTTTCGTGGTATTCAACGGTGCGCTGAAAACATCTTCAGGATTTCTTGCCAAGTCCAGCATAGTTGAAGGTATGACCTTCATCTTTGATTGTCTTAATATAAAGCCATTTTTCCATTACCTTTAAGAAATACATTTGTCAGGTGTGGTGGCATCTGGTAGGCAGAGGTGGGTGGATTTCTGAGTTAGAGACTAGCCTGGTCTGCATAGTGAGGCCTTGCCTCAAAAACCAAAACCAAAACAAAAATCAACCAAACAAATAAAATATATATTTGATGCTTACAAAAGAACAGTGTAAGTTGTTAAGAACAGTCATATCACAAACTTATGTGAAATAATCTCCTAGCCAAGAACTAGAGCATGACAGTGTTGGTTCTACTTAAGCCTTCTCTCCTCTCCCCTCCCCAAGAATTAGCTACTAGAGTGACTACTGTGTGTATTTTCTTATATGAGTATATTTACAGAATACATTACTTAGTTGTACTTACTAAGAGCAGAATTGCATATACATATGCACATTGTTTATGTTTCTGGTTTATGCATAGTCTGCAACTGTAGCTTGTTCAGCTTCAGTGCAATAATATTTTGTGAATATATGATAATTGTCCATCTGACCATGAACTTCTAGATTGTTTCTTCTATTATGACAAACAGTAGTGCTGATATATACCTGAAATTGGAATTCCTGAGTCAGTTAGATTGGTAAATGTTCAGTTTCCCAGAATATTTTCAAATGGTTTTGCAAAGTGATTGTACCAATCCTTATTAGCATGAAGGTGTCAAGTTCCTCTTTAGTCTACATAGATGGTATTATTAGTCTACTTTGTGTTTCTGAATATGATCATTTTATTTATTGCCATATATAATGCCTTATTTCATATTTATAGAACACATGCTATTTGTGAGATACTCACTTAAACTTTTGCCTATTTTCTATTGGTTGTCTTTTTGTAAACTGCTTAGTAGTTTATAATGTTACATATTGTAGGTTCCACCTCCTTTCGATTTAGCATATAATAATTGTTCTTACTTATGAAGATGACATTTTGATAATTTGGAACATATATAGAATGTAAAGGATAATTACCATTTCTGTCTATTTAAACTCTTGCTATTTTGTGTTGACAGACTTCAGATTCCTCTGCAAGTTCTTTATAGTGTAAATTGTAGATTTTAGTTGCCTTTCTGAATGTGGGACACTCTGGATATGTAGCTGTGTTATGGTACCCATCATCCAGTCTCTTCTTCTGTACTACTTCTACCCTCCCCAACTTTTAGGAGCCAGTTTATTTTTCATGTGAAAGTAACTCTTTTATTAATGTATCTGCATATGACTGAAGCAAAGTAATGTTTGTCGTTCTGTGATTGTACACTTCATCTATTGTCTGACCTCCAGTTCCATCCACATTGCTGTGTAAATGACAGGATTTCAGTTTTTCATCTTGCTCAATAATACTCCATTATGTCTTTTTACCACATTTTTTATTCATTCCTGTTGATAAACACCTTGGTTGATCTAATATTGTGGCTGTTAAGAATAATGCTACAATAAGAGGATGTGGAAGTATCTATTTTTTTTCTTTGTTTTTATTGTTTCTTTTTGTGGGGAACATCAGAGAGCATTCAGATAGTCTTACTATTTTGGCTAGCCTGAGCTCACTGTGTAGCTCTGGCTGAGCTCAAATTCTCAACCCTCCTGCCTGTGCCTCCTGAGTGCTAGGGTCACAGACCGCAACGGTCTAGCTTATCTCTGATTATTTCATTTCATTTGAGGTACACCCAGTAGGTGAATGGTTGGATTATAAGGTAGCCATAATTTTGGCTTGTTCAGGAATTCCTGTACTGTTTTCCATAATGACTGTGCTAATTTACATTCCTGTTGACAGTATATAAAGTCTCCCTTTATCTGGTTGGACTATAACTCAGTGCTGGAATCCTGGCCAATTCCCAGCACCATAAAATAACTGAGTAAAGTGAATAAATAAATAGAATAAATACATAAGTAGATGGACAAATTCTCATTTTTCTATCTCCTTAATATCATTTTAATATATAGTTCTATGGAGGCCAGAAGAGGGCATAGGATATCCTGGAACCGGAGTTACAGAGGTTGTAAACAGTCATGTGGGTGGTGGGACTTAAACCTGGGTCGTCTGGAAGAACAGTCAGTGCTCTAAACTGCTGAGCTGTCTCTCTGGTCCTGCCAGCTTTTGTTTTCTTGTTTTCCATTATAGCCGTTCTGACCAGAATGAGAAAACATAGTGGTTTTGATTTGCATTTCACTGTAGTGATGCTAATGTTTTTCCCGTATATTTCTGGGACATTTGTAAAACTTCATTAAAGAAATGGCTTCAGAACATTTGTGAATTTATTAGCCAGGATTTGATTTTGTGAGACAAAGTCTCAGTCTGTAGTCCAGGCTAGCCTAAAATTTGTCTGCCTCCAGAGTGCTGGGACTTCCTTCCCCTTGAATATTAGCATTACAGGCATGAGCCACCACACCCGGCTGTGCTTTCATTTTTTATAAGAAATAAAAGAGAGAGAGAGAAAGTTCTATCTGTGTGTATGTTTAAGTTTTCCCTGTGTTTTATTCCAGTAAATTCATCTTGCACTTGGCCTTTGGTTCATTTTGAGGAGATTTTGTGCATGTAGAGAGATAGGGACATAGGATTCATTCTGCTTTATGCTGAGTGGATAATCACTTTATAGCACCATTTATTAAGACCTTTTTTCTACAGTGAACGTTTTGGCCCCTTTGTTGAAAATCAAGTGGCTTGAATGGGTAAATTTATTTTTGAGCTTTCTATTCTGTTGGGAGGTGTGTGTGTGTGTGTGTGTGGCGGTGTGTGGTTGATGTTCATATTGTGCTGTTCAGATTACTGTAACTTCATAGTGTGTGGAGAGCTATGAGTTACTAAGATGCCTTAGCCTCCTTCCTCACGGGTGATGGTTTTTAGCTATTCTGGGTCTTTTGTGCTTTCCTGAGAGTTTAGGGTTAGGAATTTGTTTGTATCGCTTTGTGAAGAATGCTTTATTTAGATGGAGATTATTTTGAGTATGTAATTGTTCTGGACAACATTAATGTATTGACCATCTTAGTCCTTCTAATTCATGACCGTGGCCATGTCTCCACTTTCCTGTGTCAAGTCTTTCATTATTGTCATTTTCACTGTAGAAATCATCTGCTTTCTCCATTAAATTTATTGCTATTTGTTGCTATTATGAGAGAGATTGCTATCTTGATGTCCTTTGTAAGCATGCTTGTTATGTATATAAGCATGCTGCTTATTTTGTAACTTGATTTTGATTCAGTTTTAACTGATTTTTGCCAGACTCATACAATTTGTAAACAGGAACAATTTGACTTCCCTCTTTCCTGTTTGAATTCCCTTTCTTGCTTCCTCTTTTTTTTTTTTAATTTATTTTTTAGTTTAAATTTAGATAAGAAACACAGTTGCTTCACAAGCCAGTTCCAGGTCCCTCTCCCTTTTCCTCCCCTCCTCCCGTGCCCTCCCCCCTAACCCCCCCATTATCCCCTCATTTCCCCAGGGATTGGTGAGGCCCTCCATGGGGGTGTCCATAGTCTGTCATTTCATCCAGGGCAGGGCCTAGACCCTCCCCCCAAGAGTTCAGGGTGAGAGTGCACCTCACATTGTTGGATGGGAGTCCAAAGTCCGTGTGTATACTCGGGATGAGTACTGATCTACTGCCCAAGGCTCAATAGATTACCTAGGCCTCCTCACTGACACCCACATTCAGGGGGTCTTGATCAGTCCCATTATGGATTCCCAGGATGATGCCTGGGATTCAAGAGTTAACCTTTGTCTGGTCAGCTGTTTCTGGGGGTTAAACCAGCCCAGTCTTAATCCCTTTGGTCATCAGTCCTCCCTCTCTGTTACTGGCTTTTTTGAGTTCAGCTCAGTACTTAACCGAGGGAGTCTTAGTGTCTGACTAACTACAGTAGTGTGTTAAGAGTAGGGAAAGGGGCATCCTTGTCTTGTTCCTCATCTTAAAAGAAATGGTCTCAGCATTTCACAGCCCTTCTATTGTGATGTTAACATAACTTTGTTCTGTATTGAAATTTTTGTTCCTTCGAAACCTAATTTATTGACTTTTTTTCATGAGTGAGTGTTGAATTGTATTCAGTGTTTTCTTCTGCAAGATGATTGATGCATGATTTTTGTCCTTAAGTTGATGTGGTGTTTGATTTGCATGTGTCAGATCATCTTTACATCCTAGGATACATCCTGCTTAACTATGGTGTGTGACATTTGTGTTGTGCTGTTAGTAAGGAGTATAACTCATTGTTTTTGCATAACCTTAAAAATAATTCTTAACTTTATGAAATAGTTTTATTTTTCTAGTGAAAAACAAACACTTAAATGATTAGCAGAGGATATTTAAAACTTGTATCTTGCACCAAACATATTTTAATAGTAAATTCTGTACTTGGCACACATAATTAAATTTGGCAAACTCAATATGAAGTATAACTCTTGATTTCTAGATGGCTTAATGGTACAAATAACTCCAGAGACCATGGATGGCTTACGGCTGGCTTTACGAGAGCAAAAGGACTTTAAGATTCCTTGTGGGAAAGTTGATGCAGTAGACCTAAGAGAGTGCGTGGACATCTGTTGGGTAGATTCGGAAGAAAAGAAGAATAAAGGGTAGGAATTTCTTGTTACTAAAATGTAATTGATTTGATGGAGGGGAAGAATAAAAACATCCTTTTAATGCAGTGAACTATTTCTTGAATGAATACAGAATTATGCATTAATTTTAATGTTTCTACTCCAATTAATATAGTATTTTTCTCAAACATGTAACTAACCAGATTCCTAAGTTTTCTTGGTCAGGAAGCTATAATGAACTGTCAAATTGGGGAGGGACTGATTTTAAAACCCAGTTAGGTAGCTTTCTGCCAGGGCTAAGAAAGGCAAAATGTCTTTTCTGATATATGGTATATATTTTTGTCAAGTAAATAAGGGTTTCCTTTTGATTATTGTATTCTATTAATTCCCTGTAAGTATAAACTAGAATTAAAAATGGGTATGTTTGAGGCCTCACCAGACAACACTGCTAAGTCCTTCTTTTCAGTTGCTCATACTCTCTCATTTCTTGAGATGCCTTAAGGGATCTAGAAGAAAGAAGGAAAGGATTCCAAAATAGACTTCTGAAGTTAGGTCTTGCCATGTAGCTCAGGCCAAACTTAAACTCAATATGTGGCCCAGGATGGCCTTAAACTTGAAATCCTTTGCTTTGGCCTCTTGAGTGCTAGGGGTGAAGGTTTGTGGTGCTGGGAATCAAACCCAGAGCTACATCCTCAACGCCAGAAAACAGCTCTGAATTTGTAAGATACTTTTCTGTTAAGAAACTGAAGTATCTTAACCCTTGGCTCTGAAGTGGACATATGAAAAAGGAGATATAATTTACTAGAGAAAAGATTATTGTATAATCAAGGAATCATGACAAATAATTATCTATATGTAATTGAGATATTTGTTGCTGCTTTAAATGTAAAACTTTGACTTTCTCATCTCATTTTCCAAATTCAATAATTTCATGGAAAGCACTGTTAACTAACTATATTGTATTCTACTTTATTAATAGTGTTGTCAGTGCAGTAGATGGAATATCATTAGAAGGGTTTCCAAGTGAAAAAATAAAACTGGAAGCAGATTTTGAAACTGAAGAGGAGACTGTGAAATGCACTGAGGTATAGAGAAAGGTCTCTTTCCTTCACATGCTGTGTTTAGGATAGTGTTTGTAAGTGTGCTTACATGTGCATGTGTGCATGCCTGCATGCATGAGTGTGTGTGTACTTGGAAATACTGCACACTCAGCCTATAGATATTTAGCTATAGAGTATTATACCCTCCACTTTACACACTGAAGCAGATTCCCATCCATAGTTTCCCACACCCCAGATTTGAATTTGCATGTATTTTAAGCCTTCATCTTGATAGTACTTCCTGACAGCTAATAGTTGCATTTTGAAAAATTGCCATTTTATACTGTTATTTTACTATATTATTTTTATGTTACAATAAAAGATTTTATTGCCACCAGCTTATAATTGCCACTCATGTGAAAACCATTTGTTCACATTCTGCGTTTTTTAAGAGACTGTGAGGTTACGGAACCACCACAGCCTCCTAACCTGGCAGTCCCACCAGTCAGCCAAGAAGTTCCTATGTCATCTTGGTGACCTCACATGTGCAGAGGGTGCAGGCTGTAGAGGATGAAGCAACCACAGAGCAGTGTTTCTTTGTCTGACTAATTCCACACAGAGCTCTGAACTGCGTTAACTAGGGTTTCAGTGATGCAAGGCAACTTTGGGCAAAAATAGTCAAGCCATTCCCATAATCTGTCATCTTTGGTTTTAAGTTTTTATTTATTGTACAGATTCAGATTATAGATATAGAATGCTGTCAACCAGTGATTTCAAAGTCTAATTAATTTTTATTAAAGTTAAACTGAAAGCAATAATTGTTGCCTTCACAATCATGATTTCTTTTTTTAATTTAACTGATTTTTCAGGTGTTCTACTTCCTAAAGGACCGAGATGTATCTGTTTTATCAACTAATTACCAGTTTGCGAAAGAAATAGCCATGGCTTGTAGTGCTGCCCTATGCCCTCACCTGAGAACTCTGAAGAGTAACAGAATGAACAGAATTGGACTCAGAGTTTCCGTCGACACTGATATGGTAAGACATGTATAAACGTGCTTCTCTGTGGGGCAAGCGTGCCGTGTGCAGATGTTGAAGTCAGCGCTCTCCTTCTGTCATTTGAGTTGTAAGGATTAGGCTCACATTTCAGACTTGTCCACAAGTCCTTTGCTCACTGAACCAACTTGATAGTCCTGAAAGTGATATAAATTATATTAAAATACCATGATTTTTATCTCACCTTTTGAGAAAAGGGAATCTCCTGGCTTTTGCTGGTGGTGGGTTTTTTTATTTGTTTGCTTTTTGCAGTGCTGGTAATGGAACCTAAGGCCTTACCGCTAAACAAGTATCCTACCACTGAGCTGCCCTCCAGTTCTAAGCCAGAAATTGCTGCATACTTCACATGTATTACCTCTGTTAATCTCTAACTGAAGTCAGAAGAGTGACTGTCTTTGGTATCGTAGGCTGTAGAGTGTCTCCCACAATTCACCTCTTACAGTGAGACGCTGCTACTTTGGTTGAACGAGTATGGCTGTGAGCAGTGAAATCTTTTACTTAATATGGTGGCCTGCAGAACAGAGTTTGCTGATTTGTAACTTTCCTGTGTCATAAGCTTTGAAATTTATTCTAATTAAATTTATATGACTCAAAATTTTAAAAATCTGAAGGTATATACACGCACACATACATAATTTCATTAAATGTTTCCAAGGAACAGCAGTCATTCGGTATAACATGGAATTGGTGGTCCTTGGAGGTGTCAACTCTAGACTACAAAGTAGATGCTTTCCAGCATAGCTCTGCAAAGATAGATCTCTTCTTACTTTTAACTTCCAAAGCTACTTTATCCCCAGACTCTCCTTAATTATTGCAATTAGGATTATTTATTTCTTGTGATTGTATGCATGTACAAGCAAGTGTGTATGTGTAATAAAAACCTTTGTCACTCCTCTTCAAAATGTTTTATATGCCATATTTTAATATATCAGAGATTACATATTAGTACGTACTCTTTTTAAGATTTATTTAATGTATATGAGTACTCTATTTACATGTATGCCTTTGTGCCAGAAGAAGGCATCAGAGCTATGTGGTTGCTGGGAATTGAACTTAGGACCTATAGAAGAGCAGTCAGTGCTCTTAACCACTGAGCCATCTCTCCAGCCCTTTTTAATAGTTGTCATATTTGATTAAATAAGTGACAATTACATATTATTTGGTATATTTTGATTGAAGTTTAGTTTGACAGTATTTTGCTTTTGCATAAATGTAAGCATAGCCATAAAATGAGTCCCTGGATGTACAGTGGCCAGATCCAAGTATGCACTCAATGGATATCAACATACTTCCCTAAATAGGCACTGAGATCTTTTTTTTTTTTTTTTTTTTTTTTTTTTGGTTTTTCGAGACAGGGTTTCTCTGTGGCTTTGGAGACTGTCCTGGAACTCGCTTGGTAGTCCAGGCTGGTCTCGAACTCACAGAGATCCGCCTGCCTCTGCCTCCCGAGTGCTGGGATTAAAGGCATGCGCCACCAACGCCCGGCTGGCACTGAGATCTTAGACCCAGGTCCCCTATATGCAAGGCAGATGTTCTGTCTTAGAGCTGTTTTTGGTTTGTTTGTTTTGCTTTTTTTCTAGCCCTTGGTTTTTTTATTTCACAGCAGAGTCTGACCTTGATCTCACCTTGTAGCCCAATCTTGGATTGCGATCCTCTTGCCTCCCTCCGCTCCTGTCAGCGATTTCCGAGACAGCTCTTTGTTCACACCCTTGTACTGTAGGGCTTGTGCATGCTAGGCAAGTGCTCTATACTGTTATATCTCAAGCCCAATGGAACATTTGAACTTTGACAATTTGATAGGTGCAATATGATGCCCACTGTTACCTTAATATACAGCTCTACTGGCTATGAACAGTGCTCTTCTTACATGGAAAAAGCCATTTATTTTCCTCAAGAACATCTTAGTGCATATCTTTTTGGGTACATTTGTTTTGTAACTCTTGCTGGAACTTTAGGTAGAGATTTTCAGGGCAGTTTCTTCATTAGAATCTGGTTTTCTAAACAGGGGTTCATATATTAGTTTCTCCAGCAAGATGTGTTGTACTCATGCTTCCTTACTGTATTTCAAGACCCTTTTCAAGGAAACTACCTGTGAGTGTTGAGTAAGCACTGTTTGCTTGTGTAGTTAAATATATAGAAGTACAATACATCAGTAACATTAACCCTTAAGTAGTGTTGAGATGGCTCAGTAGGTAAAGCACGTGCTGCACAAACGTGGGCCTGGACCCCAGCACCTACATCAAGGCTGAGTATGATGGTGCAAGCCTGTTACCCTGGTACTGTGGGGACAGAAACACGAAGATCCTGAGGCTTGCTGTTAGTCCATGTAGCTGGAACAGTAAGAGACCCTGTATAGAGTGGAGAGCCATAGTGGAAGGCACCAAAGTCAGCCTCTGGACTGTGCACACACAGGGGAGCGCAGCTGATACTGCATACAGACACCCATACGCAGACACTGCACACACACCTCACACAAAACACAGTGTTGCAACAGTTTGAAGTACGGTAAATTGAGTTTTCAATTCATTTTTATTCAATCTTAGTTACATTGCTAATTATTAAGAAACCTTCAGACTTCTTTTTACTTATGTATTCAATTGAAATCCGAATTATAAAGCAGTGACTATTTATAATACATGTTATAATTTATGTAGTAAAGAGATAAGGGAAATGGGAGAATATACTTTTGAAAATAACATTATTTTACCAACATCATTAAGCTGAATATTCAAATACTCCGTATATTCATCTACTGAGCAACGCAGGAGGACTAATTTTCTAGGGTTACCTTATCAAGATTTCTTTTTTCCAGGTTGAATTTCAGGCCGGCTGTGAAGGCCAACTTCTGCCTCAGCATTACCTAAATGAACTGGATAGTGCACTGCTACCTGTGATCCACGGTGGGACCTCCAACTCTAGTGTGCCCTTAGAAATAGAGTTAACATTTTCCATTTTAGAAAACCTTTTTGAGTGAAAGAATGTGCTATGTTATATGTTGCAAACTCATCTGTTAAAATGAACCCCAGCGCTAAAACTGAAATGTTACACTAAATGTTTGATAATTGAAATATATAATTTTGCAGGAATGATTTTTCAGAATCATTAGCACAATATTTAAATGTCTAAAAATTTAAGGAATCCACCATTTTTATAGCTTTATGTTTATTATAAGAACTAAGAAGAAAAAATAGTTCTTCTAACTTAAAATTTATGGTATTTACTGTGTAACTTAAATGTTAAGCCAAAGTATCTGCACTTAGTTATACCTCCTTATGCCAAGAATGGTTTTAATGAAGGAGACACTTGTTTTGTGTGTATGCTAGTGAGAATACTGGCTTTGAAGTCTTTAAAATGTATTTCAGTAGTGAAGACCAGTTTCAAGAGTCTAGACTTCTGTTTATTTGACTAAAGCTGATAACTTATTTGTATAAATGGAATGGAGATCTACCTCCATGATTAGATAAACTGTTTGATTAAACTTAGAATTTTACCTTTATTTCTTCTCAAATTATTATACATATATAAATATATATATATATCATTTTCTTGATTAAAATGATTGTGGGTGCTTCAGGACTTTGTGCTTCTCTATTTAAGTCTGTTGTTTCCATAGCAACATATGATTTAAAATGTGTTTTATAAATCTTTGCTAATATATAAATAGGTAATATTTTTGTATCACACTGTGTTCACTTTCTGCTTCTTTACAAAGTACACCACTGTATTTGACACTCTTCAGATGATGACAGGCCAGATGACCCAGGAAGTGGTCACTGTGTAGCAATAACTGAAGCTTGAAACAGGTTTCTATTACTCCATGTCAATCCTTAGGAATGTCTTGATTGAACCCAATGTATGAAGTATAAATTTTAACAAACTTGTTACTTTTGCATATTTTTAATTCTTTCTATGGCAGTTATTTTTATAATGGAATATTTTACATAAAGTTAAAGGTTGTGATAGAGCCTTCTTGTTTAATTCAAACAGCAGGAGAAAGAAAAATGTCATTTAACTTATATAAAATGTAATCATTGTTTTAATGACTTTTATTATGAGGAGTATATTTTTTTGTATCAGAAACACTCACTGTATATATCAAGAAAAGAAACCACACTAAATAGCACTGTTTTAAGAAGGATATTTGTAAAACATCACAGCTTGGAGATCCAGTCACATATGTAACTCGGGAGCTAAGGTCTTAGAACCAGAGTTTCCCTCTGAATCACATGGACAAGCCAAAGGCATATTTGTAACAACATGGTGTTACAAATAGTAAATAAAATGGCAGCATACAACTCACAACGTTTATCGAAATGATGTAATATAAGGATAATATAAAGATGGCTGCTTATTAAGCTCATTTTGTTTCCTTTACATAATGTGTTTATTTTTCAGTATATTGTATACTTCCTTCGTAGTTTAACTGCACAATTTATGAATATTGAATTTGCCAAATAATGGAAGGTTCTTCTGTGATGAAGTAACTTTGAATTTGTTTTCAAAGTGTCTACAACCAATGAAAATTGGAATTCTAGCCTAAATATTAGAGGCACATTTTACAGCATTCTTTGGAGATGGATTTTTCTAAATGCATTTACCACTTGCTTGGTCATAGTCTTCACATTGCACTTATTTGAAATTTTAGTAAAGAAATCAGGTGACTCCTTATAGTCAGTCTACAACATCTCTTTATGGTCTTAAGACTTAATGCAACTCAGTTTCTCTGTGTATGAAACATGAAGTGAAATATATCTTGTTTTATGCATCTATTGAACAGTCCGTGTGTCTGTGTGCTGCATTTTCTCCTTTGGAACTAGATGTATGAAACAGATAATTAACATATAGGAACACTTCCTTGCTGTAGTGGAGAAGTGACTCTTGAGTGGGTGCAGGGGGCACTCGAGAGGAGGCTCATGTCTAAGGAGGAGCTTGCAGCATAGTGGGCATTTGGACTGGAAATCTTGAACACCCAGAATGCTGTAGAGAGATTGAATATCTCACCTTATAATTGAATAAGTCTTTTTTTTTCTTTTGGTTTTTTGAGACGGGGTTTCTCTGTGGCTTTGGAGGCTGTCCTGGAACCCGCTGTGTAGACCAGGCTGGTCTCGAAGATCTGCCTGCCTCTACCTCCCGAGTGCTGGGATTAAAGGCGTGTGCCACCAACGACTGGCCTTGAATAAGTCTTATACAGATGGTCATGTAGATTCCTGGCAGCCTAGGTTTCTGTATTGCTTCATAAAATAAAATACAGAAGGTTTTTAATAGGAAGAATAATTTTGATAATGTGATTCAAGTTTTAAAATACTGTCTTGAAATAAAACAGAAACTTCTGACTCATTCTAGGTTTTATGTTTTGTTCAGTGTTTGACGATATATATAATATACGCAATTCAGCAAAAAGAAACATGAACGCTTAGCAGTGTTAATTTTGCCTCCCACCTGCCATTACAATCTTCCACCACACCCAGTCAATAGGTAGTCATCTTTCTTGGGTACCACTCCAAGGTGCAGAGATCATAACAGCATTGGACTTCCTTTCTGTTTCTTCAAGTGCACAACATAGGGATTACTGTAGTTATTGTGTTGTGCGAGAGAACATTTGAATTTATTTCTCCTATCTGAAGTTTTGTGTCCTGACCAACATCTCCCCAGTGTCTCCTTTTCCTCTGCCAGCTCTGCCCCCTCAGTCCAGCATCTGCTTTCTGTTCAGCACTCTTAGGTCCCACATAGGCGTGAAGTCATGCAGCATTGGTCTTCCCAAGCCTGTGTTTCTTCACCTAACGCCTGTCAGTTTCATCTTTGTCACAAATGACAGTATCTCCTGTCAGTGACTCTCTTTACCAACACACTCAGTAGTAGGATTAGTGACTCATAGTTTGTAATTTTACCAGGGTCATCCACACCATTTTTCATAGTGATATTTTTATGTGAAATGTAGCACATTAAGCATAGTTTGAGCACATCAATTACTTGGATATATGTAGCTTTATATTTAGAATCATAAAGGTCTCATTGCTTCTTTCAGAACACTTTTTACTCACTGACTGGTAAGAAGCATCTTAATGCGGAAAGGAACAAAAATCCCTTAGAAATCTGGCCTGCATTCTTAGGAGTATTCTCATCATAACATTTTTATTACACACTTGCATGGTTATTTTTATTTGAATACTTTTTTTCTGCTGGCACTAAGCCTTACTGTCTAAATTTATCTTTTTCCACTTAATTGATATATTAGTCTTTCTATATTTTTTGTTAAGGTATATTAACTGTAAAGACTAATAGTTGGCCTGGTTTTTTTGTTGTTGGTTTTTTTTTTTGTTTGTTTGTTTTGTTTTTATGAGACAGGGTTTCTCTGTATTGTTTTGGAGGCTTATCGGTCCATCCCAGCCTCAAACTCACAGAGATCGGCCTGCCTCCGCCTCCCGAGTGCTGGGATTAAAGGCATGCGCCACCACCGCCCGTGGTTGGCCTGTTTTTAAGACAAGGAATCAAAAGAAGAGGAAAAGACAACGTCCAGCTGTGTGGCCTAGGCTGGTCTCCAACTCGGATCTTCCTGCTTCCATCTCTGTCTTCCCCAAGTGCTGGGATTACAGGTGTGAATGACCAGATCCAGAAAAATAATAGATTTCATTGTGACATTTTCATGTGTGCGTGCCAAGTACTTTGGTAATATTCACCCCCACTACTCTCTCTTACTTTTTCCACTCCAGGATTTTTGGTAGTTTAATTTTTTGTTATTAATATTCTATTTTGGATTTAGCTTGGAATGGTGTGCAATTTCATATGAATACCTTTGGGAAGGTATTTTTTTACATCTGTAGGAACAAAATTTAACTTTATTTCCATGCTTATACAGATAAGTATAGTTCAGGTGCTCCAGTAAAGGCCCTTTATAAATAATGTTAAGCCTCTATTAACGTTAAAATTAAAAGTAATCTTAAGTAGCTGTCTTAACCTGGAGGGTCACTTCTTTGGGGTCAAACTTCCCCTTTCAGTGGGTGACAGCAGGTGTGGCAGAAGGGAGCCCAGAAGACTGGTGTGTCTCCCTCTCCCATTACTCCTTTCTCCATCAGCTCTGCTTGCCTTTCTATTCTGGTGGCTCTCAACCTTCCTAATGCTGCCACCCTTTAATACCGTTCCTCATGTTTAGTGACCCATCCATAAAATTAACTGTGATTTTGCTGTTATTATGGATCACAGTGTAAATACCTGGTGTGCAGGACATCTGATATGCAACCCCTGTGCAAGGGTCCTGACCCACATGTGGAGAATCGATATCCTGTGCAGTACTTAGTGTCGGGGGAACCTGTTGCAGGATCTCATTACTGCACAGACACCTACTTGATGAGGAACTGAAGATTCCTGACAGCACAGCTTGAATGGAAAGTGGATCGAACCCCAGCCAAGCCTTTAAACCAGCCTCAGAAGCAGCTTGGATTTACCCTCACCTTCAGAATCCTGCTTCTGAAGCTGTTGATCCTGACTCACAGGAAAAACCAGCTCATACAAGATTCTTCTTTAAGCTTAGACTATGGTGACTTGTTTTTAGTAGCAGCTAGAAATGATCGACACATACTAATGTTTTTAGCAATCAGTAAAAAGAGCTAAAAACTTTTCTGGTAAAATTAGATATCTCAAGATTGTTATAGTCCTTGACCCAAGTAGTATGTGCTAAGGGCAAAGAACATACAAACCCCAGAAGCTGTGTTGATCCGTGTTTATGCCGAAAACAAAGCTGATTAAAATACAACTTCACCCTAAAACATCACAATTTAAGAAGGGATGCCCAGTTACCAGATAAGAGCTGGTAGTAGGTGCCTGTTGGGACAGCTACCCACGTGGGTGGGACAGAAATTAGAGGTCAGGCTCCACACAAGGTTCTACATATAACGAAGGCCCTTGCGTGAGTAGGCAAACTCATAGATGGGAAGACCTAAGGGGGAATAGCTAAATTTGGGATTACCTAAATTATCCAGAAAACCTCACATACTGAATGTGCCACGAAGTGCCAGGAAAAGTAAAGTGTAAAATTCGGTCCATCAGGCTGGAGAGATGGCTCAGAGGTAAGAGCACTGACTGCTCTTCCAGGGGTCCTGAGTTCAATTCCCAGCATCTACATGGTGGCTCACAAAAGTCTGTAATGAGATCTGGTGCCCTCATCCTGACCTGCAGACATACATGCAGACAGAACACTGTATATACATAATAGATAAATAAATCTTTAAAAAAAAATCCTGTCCATTAGGAAAAGTGTAAAAATCCTGTTGGCCTCAGCCAAGCTGCTGGCTGAGGATACAATATGAATTAAAACGTATCATCTATTAACAGAAACAAAAAAGTAGCTACACAAGGAAACTATATTTCAGCAACAAAGAATAAAAGCAGAATCATACAGTGGATGTGTTAACTAAAGTTAAGGGTTGGGGGAGCCACAGCTATGTTAAAAATATTCTGCAAGGCCAAGGTTAGAACTTGGCGTTTGTGCAGCGCTGGTATGTTGAAGATTGAGTCAATTATCTTGCGCTGTTTTTAGCTCCCTTAATAGCATTGCCCACTTTTGCCCTGTCAATCTTGTGACTAAGAGAAACATTTTGGAGTGTGTTAACAGCACATCACTAACTTCCACCAGCCTAAAGGCTAAGAACCTTCAGATAGCAACTGAACCCTGAAAACCTAAACTAAGATGGGCTTATTTGCTGTAAACTGCAACCTGGTGTTTCCATCAAAGCGTTTGGAAAATCCCAAATGCATGGCTTCCTTAAACAGCAAAAGCTCCATGAAACTGCAAATATATTTGGGGTAAATGGTTTGGTGTTCTTGGACCGCAGGCACTCATAGTTGATTCTGTATCTATAATAAATAAACTTGAGGTGAGAGCGGCGTAGTTTGTGCCTTTTGTATAGAAGTAAATTAAATGTGTAAAAAAGTAAACTACATTTAAATGCGAAGATACGGGCAGAAAAAAAAAACTAGAAAGCGGTGGGGCTAACTAGTGTTTTCTGAGACAATCCTGGCTGGGCTGGAAAGAGACTATGGAGGTATGGTAGAGACTAAAAATAATGGCCCCTCTAGTCACAGTGACTTGAAATCACTGTCCTCTGAAGGCTGGGCGAGAACCACTTCCTCTTGTGCAGTTAGGGGATGTATAGCTTTGCAGTCCACAGCTGGCTGGGACAAGTGGCCCAGCAATGCAACTGCACCTCCGCGCTGCTGGGAGGTGGCGCCCCGCCAGGCCAGTGGCTGTAATGGGCGTGCGCACTATTTCCAGCGTGGCACCGAGGTTCCGGTCATCTGGTTTCCGCCACCGGAGACAACCCTAGTGCATGACAACCCTTAGCGCCTGCGCGTCGGCGGCGTCCTTCCATCACCATGGCAGCATGCGCTGGGGGCCCGGGTAAGTACCGAGGGCCTGGCGGGCGCCGCCTGCTCCTTTCCCGGTTCTGGTATTCCGGTTGTAAACGCGGGTGACTGCTGGGTGTGGAAGGTTCTAGTAGTCTCAAGGCGTGGAGGAGGTCTGGCGGCAGATTTTACAGAGACCGGAGTGAATGTCTGCATGTCACAAGGGGGCTTTAGAAACCATTTAGGGTAACTCGGTAGTTTCAAATACAAACTGAAAATTCATTTTTAATACATAAAGTTCAGAATGGTACGGGAAGGGCTATGCTCCTTGACTTTCTACCCATTTTCCCCTAGGCTTCTACTGTTCGTTCCTTGGTGGATCCTTCCAGAGACAGTTTGCTTACCATCTTCTTACCTTCCACTTTTAACATGCACATACGCGTTAAATATTGTTTTGTATTAACCCTTTGAAGATTTTTATACAATGCATTTTTATCACAGTCACTCTGGCCCCTCCTCCTTCTCTCAGATCCAACCACACCACCCTCTAACTTCATTTCCTTTTTGTTTGTTCCATTTGTCAAACTCCAAAGAGGAAACAAGAGTGGGTTGCCCCAGGGCTGGAAGCCTCCCTCTGGTTTGGTACTGTGGATTTAAAGGAAGGTTTTGTGACTTCAGTGCATATTTATGGAGTAAGGTGACCATTTTCCGCCTCCCAAACCATAGTGGACCTTATGTCTCTTAGGTATTTCATTCCATGGTCCCCACAAATGCAGCTGCAGCTTTCCAGGTCCCTTGTACCTAACTCTTGGTCCAGGGGGTATCACAGGTCTGAGCCAGATTTCCAAGGGCTAAAAGCATGGTGTTAACTACTGGTTTCTCCAGGAGGTATAGCTGATGGTGTTCTTGCCTTTCTGGCCCCTTGGATCTCTTCCTGCGTCTCTCAAGCCAGCAGTGACTGCTTGAGTTCCTCCCACTACATCATCTCAACTTTACTGGGCTTCCTCCTTCTGTCTAAGGACCTTGTTATTGGAATTTGTATACTCAAACGTCCTCCCATTTCAAAGTCATCTGATTAGGAGCCCTAATGCCATTTGGAACTAAAATATCTCATGCCCTCACATGAAATCTAAAAGAGAAATCCTGAGTTTGCAAAGATGCTGAAGGCATCTGACTGGCAGCCTTCATTCCTTCTCAGCTGGATAACATATTGACAGGCCCCCATTACTCTTCCTGCACTGTTGCTCCTAACACTTTCTGCACTCCTGTCTGAAATCCTAGGGTACGTGTATAGTTGCCTTGTTCATTTCACTGGCTGTGGAATGATCCATATTCAGTGCTGACAGACATGTGAAGTTTCACTCTTTTGCTACTACAAACAGTTCATTAAACGTACTGAATGTAATGTATTCTCCCAAAATGAGCGTATCCATCTATGGAATAAATACAAAGAAGTAGAATTTCTTAATCAAAAGACAGATATAAGAATGGCCCCCATGGGCTTCTGTGTTCCAGTGCTTGGTCCCAAGTAGGTGGAACTGTTTGGGGAGGATTAGGAGGTGTGGCCTATTGGAGGAGGTGCGTCACTGGGCATGGGCTTTGAAATTTCAAAAGCCCCATGACAGGCCCAACCTTGCCTTCAACTTTCAAATACAATATAAGCTCTTAGCTACTGCTCCAGGACCATGCCTGCCTGTCAGCTGCCATGCTCTGTGCTGTAAGGGTCATGGACTTACCCTCTGAAACTGGCAGCCAGCCACCAATTAAATGCTTTCTTTTAAAAGTTGTCTTGGCCACTTCAAAGAGACCAAATTTACATATTCCAAGTATTTTACTATAGACTGAGCTGAGGTATGATGCTCAGCAGGTGTGTTGAGTGTATTTTGAGTTAGGATATTTTAACCCAACAATTAGTGTATCTGGATGTAACCCCCATTGTAAGTCACTAAGAACAGAGCAGCAATCTACCCAAAGTAAATGTATTTGGCTTAAAAATCCTGCATCATTGTGTCTTGTTACTAATTTGTAAGGTGCCTTTATAAAAATTCCAAATGCAGTATAAACACAGCTGGAAGGTGCCGTGGAAACACCTAATATCTAGGTTTGTTTTGGCAACCTATGTGTCAGGGAAGGATGACCAATTTGCAGAGTATTTGGTCTCTGTCTATCTGTCACTCCTTACCTCATATTAAACAGAGTCTGACTGTGTAGTCTAGGCTGGCTTTGAACTCATAATCTTCCTGTCTTGGGCTTCTGAGCTGTAGAGTCAAGTGTCCAAAGCCACATGCATTATGTTTTCTATCATGAATGTATACTGTGATTTAATTGCTTTCTTTTTATTGGCTGTTTGTCATAACTAAGAATTAATGTGCCTTCTACAATGACTAACTTGAATATTTAAAAAGTGATGTTTGGGGCTGGAGAGATGGGTCAGCCGTTAAAGGCTAGGCTCACAACCAAAAATAAAAAGTGATGTTTGCCGGGTGGTGGTGGTGCACGCCTTTAATCCCAGCACTTGGGAGGCAGAGGCAGGCGGATATCTGAGTTCAAGGCTAGGCTGGACTGACAGCCTCCAAAATAATACAGAGAAACCCTGTCTCGTAAAACCAAAAAAAAAAAAAAAAGTGATGTTCATGCATACTCTTGTGAACAGAGCCCCTACTAGAGGCAATTGGGGCTGCTGGGGTCAGTGGGGGGACCCTAGGGAAAGTGAGGGACACTGGGGCCAGTGGGGGCCACAGGGGGGCAGTGGGCTCTTTAGCCAACCCTCTTCCTTTTTCCAGAGTGCTTGGTAAGCAATGGCAGATGCTGACTTTATAGCCTTCTGTTTTCAGACTAAAGGAGTGGTTTGTAATTTGGTATGTAAAAAATCCACATGCTGGGGCTGGTTGTTCTTGCGGAGGACCTGGGTTCAGTTCCCAGCACCCACATGTCAGCTCACGACTGACTGTGACTCCAATTCCAGAATCCAATGCCATCCTCTGGCCTCTGCAGACCGTAGGCACACACATAGGGGACATCCATATAGACAAAATACTCAGACACAGAAAATAAATAATTCTTAAAAAATGAAGCCCACATGTTTGTGGGAGGTACATGTACTTGTCAAAATGAACAGAAGTGTTTCAAAATTAAAGAGGTCCTATTTTCTGAACAAAGATTACTTTTCCTAATGCGTAGATATTAAAGATTTATTGACTTTTATGTGTGTGTGCGTGCTTGAGTATGAGCTTCTGCTTCACATGTGTGCAGTGCCCTTGGAGGCTAAAAGAGGGAGTTGGTCCCCAAGGAATTGGAGTTAACAGAAGATTGTGAGCATTCGTGTTGATGCTGGGAATCCAACCTGGGCCTCTGGAAGAGCAGCAGCTGATAACCACCAAGCCACCTCTCCAGCCTCGACTTTTCCTAATGTTTTACTGGCAATAGAATTTTTAGGCCTTTAATGGTTGCCAGGCAGAGTTAATAAATCAACAGTTGGCAGAATGCTATGCATTCCGTGTGGGTAGGCATGGCACTGAATAACGGGGCTTGGGGAGGAGATTAAAGGGAAATCTGGTATGCCGTAAGCAACTGGCAATATGTGCGTTACTTATATCTGCCTGTGCCGGCTGAGGCTGTGATTGCTACCTTGAGCTCAAGCACTCAGCTGCCCAGAGGGCCACCGCCTGAAGGCAGATTTGCAGCAACACACGGACTCTGTGCTGTTGAAGGGGCTGCAAACTGACTGCCACCCTCAGGGCTTTTGGTTTCGCTGTGGGCTGGGATGGGGGACACCGCCCTCAGTTTTCAGTATAACTGTGTCTGTACGCAGAGGACCCGGGTTTTTGGAGGACACAGTGTAGAGTTTCTGCTTTTAAATGTCTGCTTCTTAGCAATTTTGTTCTCTTTCTTCATGCTTTTACATCTCTGACCTCCAGAACACACCACATGGCTACTAATTATAACTTGACGTATGTTTACATGTATCGCAGACCTACATGTCACAGTACATATTCAGTTTTGTAAATCTATTTTTCCTATTCTAATTGCTTGGTTTTCCTCTCTCAATATATCTTTTGCCCCTTTATATAAAAAAAATTTTAGCCGTGTAACCCACCAGTGCCCCCCTATGGGCACATACCCATGGTGTGGAAACCACTACCTTGTAATTGAATGTCTGTGAGCATTATTGACAATAGCCAAGGTGTGGGAGCCTCCCTAGCCTGCAATGACAGACCAGTGGGTAAAGAGGATGTGGTATGTGCTGCCAGCAGAGTAGCGCTCTGCTCTGACAAAACCCGTGCTTTTGCCACGTGTGTGAGCCTGGAAGATACTGCACTTAGTGAAATGAGCCAGCCACAGAAAGAAAATATATTGCATTATCTCATTTATCTGTAAAATTTCTCAGCTACATAGAAATAGAGAACACAGCATTGACTGCTCATAGGAGAGATGAAGATGTGTTGACCTGCAGATAAAGTTCAGATATGTAGGATGAGTGAATCCAGAGATCTAATGGCACCATGAGGACTATGGGTAATGAAAATTACTGTGTGTGAGACTTATGCTGATGAGATTTTAGCTGCTCTTCATGCATGCGCATGCACACACATGCACACACATGGGCACACCCAAACACACTAACATCGGGATTTAAGAATGTCACTGGGGAGACGATGGGCATGCTTATTTGCCTCAGAATAGAAACTAATTTCTTGCCACATGTATCTCACAGCATCATGTTGTCTGCCTTAAATATATGCCCCATCAAAAACAATGTTCCTTTTCATGTAAATATTGTCATGTTTAGGGTCCTGGAGTGAAAATATACTGGATTATTTCCTGAGAAACAATCAGATCACGACAGAAGATGGTGCTGAGATCATCTGGTACCATGCAGCCAACCACAAGTCCCAGATGCAGGAGGCGTTGAAGAGTAAGTGGCTTCTACTGTTTCTATTAAAGATTTTTTTCTCATTCCTATTTATTTTGAAGCAGTCTTTGACATATATGTAACTCAAACTGGCCTCAAACTTGTGATCCCCCTGCCTCAGCCTTCCAAGTGCTGGGATCCCAGATATGAGCTGCCATGTCTGACTACTTCAATATTTTACTTGGGGAATATATGAACTCAGTATGTTTTATGAAACCTGAGAAAAATGTCCTGAGCTGTAAGTTGCTTGGATTGGGAGCCAGTCTGCCAGAGTCAATGGACGATAGAGCACAGGGTCCCCCTGGAGAGTGGGCAGCAACTGTGTGGATGCTTGCTGGGCCTTGGCTCTGGAGACAGACTCGGTTCCAAAATTTGGACCAGGGACGATTGCTGCAGTTAGAAATCATGAGGCTCATTCCCCTGTCAGCTAAGCTGTGCCATATGTCCTCGTGTCATGGTGATACAAGAAATGGTTGACATCTGTTTGCTAAACCTCTGCTCTATTTCCCACCATCCGTGTGGAGGGTGTGCGCTGTTTCCAGGGCCTCCAAACCATCGCAGTGGCCTGAAACCCCTGCACAGGCTTGCTCTATTCTTCAGATCTGCCTGCCGTGGTTCTGATACTCCATCTTTCCTGGCCTTTCAGCTCCTCCCATGGCTAAGGACCTGCTGTCCTCATGTGGCTGCTTTCTTTACAGGAATGTGTGGTTTGTGATGTTCAGCACAGACTCTGAAAATCCTGGACGAGCACTATCACTAATCTATGCCCCAGCATTCTTCTTCTGTTTCTTTCTTGTCTGTGTTTTCCAATTTCAGTGTATGTATTTTATGTGTATGGGTGATTTGCTTGCACGTATGTCTGTGTACCATGAGTGTACCTGGTACCCAGAAACCAGAACACTGCATTGAATTCCCTGGGACTGGAGTTGTGGACGATCGTGAGCCACTATGTGGGTGTTCGGGATCTAAAGAGAAGCCAGAACTCTATCTAAACTGCTGTCATCTCTCCAGCTGACCTTTCCCTGTAGTCTAGGCCTCAGCCTCACAAGCAGTGAGAATTACAGAGCTCCATCACTAGGCCAGGCCTGGCTAACCTCCCACACAGCCTGTGGTCAGTCCCGTTGTCATCTCTAATAATAAACGCCTGTTCCTGACTTGAACCCCCCATGATGTAGCCCACGTATCCTTGTCCTGTACCTCCTGCCGTCCTCCTTTTAGTGAGTGTTTCTGGGGTTTGTTGATGTCCTGGTATGCGCACAAAGGAAGACATCGTGTCCACAGAGCAGGTCTTAGCCACTTCTAAGTTAACAAGCCGTTGTTTCCATTTTGGGCTACCACAAGCACTATTCCTGTCTGTCCTATGAACCAGCATGTAGGAAGCCAGCAGCACGTGCTAAAAAGCAGTCAGCAGGTGTGAGCAGGAGAAATGTTCTTGACATACACCAAAGGAAAGCAGAGATGGGACCCCACTCCGGGAGGGAGCAGGGAAGTCCTCTTTGCCAGAGTGAAGGGGGACAGTCTGTCTCACTGTGGGATGCTCGGTAAGCTTGCAGCTGATGGCACAAGCTCATAATCTTGTTAAGGAGTAAACATCACTGTGTAAGTTGTTTTCCTTGAGTCTGACCATTTGTGGATGGTTCCTTGGACTATGAGAGAATAGGCTCCAGATGTCTGTGTAAGACATGGGTTAGTAGGAACCAGGCTACAAGTGTTCATGCTTGTCTGGTGGTTAGTGGGGGGTATGCTTTTCTGGGGAGCCTTTGTCTTTGCGCATCAGTGTTCGCTGCAAGTTTTGACGGGCATGAATTTAGGTTTTTCATATGGAAAGCAAAGGAGTGACTAATTTGAATTTCACTGCTTAAGGAACATTTTTAAGGAAATGTCAACATTTCCAAAATTATTGTACTCTTTTCTGTTCCTACTGATAGTGAGGATAGGATTCTAATTTCTTCACATCTTTGGCCAGCACCCCAGTGTGTGCAAATTGGTATATGTCACTTAGATTTAGATTTGTGTTTCCTAAAAGCTTAAATACCCTTGACGGGATGGCAAAATGGCTCAAAGGATAAAGGCAGTTGCCACCAAGCCTGACAACATGAGTGAGATCCCAGGGATGCACACGGTGGTGGGAGGAGAGGACCAACTCTCACACACTGCTCTCTGTCCTCCACATATGCAATATGGCATGCACAAAGTGCCATAAACAAATGAAGTATGTAATAGTTAAGAAAAAAGAGAACTGCCCTTGAGGCTCTGGTGGTGTCTCTGTGGAAGTGGCTGTATCTGTGTTGACTGCTCAGACCCGATTGTGACCCTTGGGAACCCACAAACTTCTTTCATTTTGAGCTCTATGTGAACTACCTCTGTTCATTTTGATTCTATTGTATGTGTCTCCCATAAACATGTAGGCTTTATTTTTAAGACTTATTCAGTAAGTTTCTGTGTCTGAGTGTTGTGTCTGCATGTCTGTCTGTCTATCACATGCATGAATATTGTCTTGCAGAGGCCAGAAGAGGGCATTGGACCTCCTGGAATTGGAGTTACAAACAGTTGTGAGCTGCCCTGTGGATTCTGGGACCTGAACCCAGGACCTCTGCAAGAGTGCCAGGGCTGATAACCACTGAGTCATCTCTCTAGCCCCAGCTTGTGGGTTTATTACATACCAAATTATAAACCACTCCTCCAGTCAAAAGCCACATACCCAGATTGCTTTGTGGTAGTCTCCATTCTGAGTTGGTTGGTCTGCAGATTTGGTTACTATGGATACATACTCTTAGTATTCTAAACCCTCTTCATCTAGTTGTGTGGGAGCAGGTGCTGTCCTGAGGGTTAATAAAGGGCCTTGCAGCTGCCCTGTTGGCTGTGTTGGCACTGAAATGATATTTTATTGTAGTGCTTTGATTGGAAAGTTTTTCTGCTGCAAACTCATTTAAATGTAATTGCCAATGGAATTGTATGGAAAATGGGGTCTCTAGAGCAGTATTTGGGGCTAAGTTGGAAATATTTCCTTAGTGTGCCATTAAAACGTCCAACAGTTAGTTAGTTATCTTATTAGCATAGGTTGTTAAAAGAAACCAATTGACACTTGGAGCATCTCCTGGAAACCACCTATATCAACTCCACAAATTCATTTGTGTCCTCTCCTCTCCATGTTTCTGCCATTACTACAAATGACAGTGTTGCCAAAGTTTCACTATTGTATAAGACAGATTGCTCAGTGGGTAAAGGTGCTTGCTACCAAGCCTGACAACCTAAGTTCATACCCACACCCTCACAGTAGAAGGGTAAGACCAACTGTTGCACATTGTCATCCGACTCCCACATATATACCATGGCACATACACGCATGCACCCAGACACATATGTACCCAAGATAAATAAGTGTGCAAATTAAGACAGATGTCCATTCTCAAGTCAAGGAGCTCCTATGCTGCCTTGCCCATTCCCACGAACAGTTCCTTCCTTACTCTTAAGGCTTCCCCAGGTCCCAGGGTTTGTTAGGACAGCATCTACTTCTAGATGTCTGTCTCTGTTAATCTCCTGGTAGCAGACACCTGGAGCTGGAAGTGGTGGTGAATGCCTGTAATCCCAGCATTTGGGAGGCTGGAGTAGCACAAGTGCAAGTCGGAGGCCAGCCTTGTCTGTGTGGTGGCAGTCACAAAACAAGTCATTTTTAAAAGTAGCTGTTTTAAATCAAAGATGTTGAATTTCTTTTGTTTTTAATTTTTTTCGAGACAAGGTTTCTCTGTGTAACAGTCCTGGCTGTCCTGGAACTTGCTTTGTAAACCAAACTGGCCTCAAACACGCTGAGATCCACCTGCCTCTACCTCCCGAGTTCTGGGATGAAAGGGGTGTGCCACCACTGGACTGCAAAGATGTTAATTTTTATGTAGAGTTTCAGGCATGAACAATGAATGTCCATGGATTCTAATTTGAATATCAAGAAGATAATATATGCATATGTCTGTGTATCTATGTATGTATGTGTGCATGTGTGTGTATATATGTATATGTATATGTATGTATGGGTGCATCTATATTTGTGTGTGTGTGTGCAGGTATATGTGTGTGCCTATATCTGTGTGTGTGTGTGTGTGTGTGTGTGTATGGGTGCATCTGTATCTTTGTGTATGTGCAGGTGTGTGTATGTGTGCATGTGACTGTGTGTTTCTGTGTATGTTCAGGTGTATATGCATGTGTTGTATCTTTGTGTGTGTGTGCGCAGGTATATATGTGTCTATGTGTGTGTACAGGTGTATATGTGTGTGTATGTCTGTGTGTGTGTTCAGGTGTGTATGTGTTTGTGTGTGTACAGGTGTATGTGTGTATGTGTTTGTATGTGTGTACAAGTATGAGTCTGTGTGTGTGGTACTTGAGGTAGGGCCAGCGCTTTGCTCATACTTAGGCAAGCAGCACCTTTGAGGGATACCCTCACTTCATCTATACTATTTTGCTACTAGAAAGCTCCAACAATACTTAATAGGCTTCCCTTTACAGAAGGCTTGAGAGAAGCCTTCCTGCCAGCCTGGTTCCAGAGCCACATCAGTCCCAAATAAACACACAGGAGGCTATATTAATTATGAAGCTGTTGGCCTTGCTTGTTTCTTACTGGCTAGCTCTGACTTAAGTATTTATCCCATAATTGCTAATCTAAGTATGTCTCTTACCGGAGAGGTTTCCAGGTTTCCTACTCCATGGCGTTACATCTTGACTCTCTGTGTTTCTTCTGTGTTTCTCCTACCCAGAGTCCTCCTGGACTCCTAGTCCCGCCTATCTTACTTCCCTATTGGCCAACAGTGCTTTATTGACATATACACAGGACTTCCCCAACATCTCCTCTTTTCTGTTTAAACAAAAAGAAAGGTCTTAACTTTAACATAGTCAAATTATATATAACAGAACAGTTATCAAGTAAGAACACAGTTACAATATTTTGTCTATCAATATTCAGCAAGATTTAAATATCATCTATCCCATCTTTGTGAGTCCAAAGTTCTATATGTAGCTTATCTTTATCATAACTAAGGAAAACTATAACTATCTTCAACTCCATCAAAGACCACAGAAGGATAATACTAGGATAACACTAGGATTGACAGAGACATCTCGGTTGCTGGACAGTCACCCACAGTTCCTCTGTAATGTTGGGGCATCCATCTTTAGCTCATAGGCCACAATGTGTCCAAAAGATTTCTCAGCAAAGCAGGAAATTTCAAACTGTCCATCTGCATCAGCAGTCTGTCAGTCATTTTTCTGTGTCCTGCAGAAAGTCTCGTAGACTCTTCTATGAATCAGGAACCCTGAAGGACTGTTTGGGTTTAGTAGTCACTTTCCTGTGGGTCCTGCATGCCCAGTTTATACAGCAGCAGTCAAGTAGTCCAGGCAAGAGCATTTTCTTGCCCAAATGGCTAATCTTACCACGTTGAAAGCAAACTCCATAACAAGTCTCTTCGATGTCCATCTTCCTCTCAGATGTAATTGGTGATGCCAGGAGCAGACATTTCCCATTGTCAAGAAAAACCTTAAACCATTTTAAATGCCATTTTCTGAAGGTCTTTGAAAGGTTTGAAGACTGCCTATCTGTCTCAAATATATTTCTGTATATCTAGAAAACCTAACTTACCTAACTATAAGTTCTGACTATTATAAGTAACTATCCATAATCTGTGTTTAATTATGCGTTATGTTTTAAAAGATCAGTATAAGCACAATACTTAATCAAGAGGAAAAATATACATATCACAAAATTGACCTTGAATTTGTATCAATAAATACAAAACTATACCCATACCATAATTCCCCTTTTTACCATTAAAAAGAGATTGGCTATGATCACTAGCTAATTATAAACAATCCCATTTAAATGAAAACAAAGGTTTATAAACAAGATGGGAATTAGGACGTCGCTCATTCCAAATTGCTTCGTGCTGAAAGGGAGCACTGTTCATACCATGGGGATCATGACAAAACTCAGAAACCTTAGTTTCAGGATCTGTAAGACTGCATCATCTTAGCTGTTTCAGTTGTTGGAACACTTGGTCCACTGCTTCCGGGGGTCTTGGTTCATCAAACCACAGAAGCCTGGAAGGAATCCTCAGATTTTCATTTTCTGTAGAAACATAAATAAAAACTCCTTTTCCAAGTAACATATCCTTATACTTAAATTTTGAAGTCAAGGCATTTTCAAAAGATATAAGTTGAATTAATTCAGCAGCATTTATAATCAAGCGTACTTTAGCAGTTGTTCCTTTCTGAGCAATCAAAAAACTGAAAAACACAATAGCATACAGTATCCAGACTCTCTGTGTATTTTCCATCTTTGGGTGGCTTATTTATTTATCTATTATTATTATTATTTTATTTCTTTTACTTTTATTCATTTTTCTCTGAGACAGGGTTTCTCTTTGAAATCCACCTGCCTCTGCCTCTGCAGCAAATCCTACCAGCATGCGCCACCACAGCCGGCTTCTCTATTTATTTACCACTATGTCGTTACTTTTTGTATCTAAGTCTTATGTATATTTTTAAACACACTGTAAACATTTAGAGGTTTTTCTTCATCCAAGTCTGACTTTACTGTAAATCTTTATGTTTTTCTGGCCACGTGTCTTATCTGGTAAAACCTCAGCTGTTTTAAACTGCTGTTTTTTCCAAGATGGCGGGCGTAAGCGTAACTCCAGCTGCGGGCTTGGAGATGTGGTCACTGCCACTTCCAGCTGTACGTACAACTTTTAAATCATTAGCAAAGCCTCTTAAAAGAACCTTGTTGGCTTTTTTTTTTTTTAATGCTGAGTCAGGAAGCCTCACTTAAGCCAGCGGCAAGTCTCTGCTTGCCGCTAGCAAACCAGAGCCCACCTGAGAAAAGTACTGCTACCAAAAACCCATGCTTTTCTCCCTTCTTTTGTTTCTAAAACTCCTTTAAAGCTTTTGTCTTAAAGGGAAGCCTTCCTGCCAGCCTGGTTCCACCTTTCCTTTGTGTACTCTATTTTACTAGATACTAGAAAGGATTCGTAGGTAGGATCATGGCTTACGACCTGAGTGTTGTAAGGATAATGTGCGGGCTTCATGCAGTGCCTGGTATTCAACAGTTACTCGGTACGTGGTTCTTTCCTTCCTTCTCACGTGGTACTGATGTGCTTGTCCTGTAGTTCCGTCCTGGTTCGGCAGTAACACAGCTCTCTTGCTTGGGCAGGTGCTGCCCACATGATAGAGGCTGATGTCCTTCTTCCTAGTGATGGATCAGAGCATGGCCAGCCAATCATGGCCCATCCTCCTGAGACAAACAGTGATAACACTCTGCAGGAGTGGCTGGCTGAGGTCGTGAAGAGCAACAAGGGCATCAAGTTGGATTTCAAGAGGTATTTGTACAACCTGCTTCTTATTGTTGCAGAATTCACTTCCGGGAAAACATTGACAGGTGCATGTCTGTCTTTGGCTACCTACTCTTGCACCTTGCCAACTGAAAATGGAATCTCAGGCCTTTGTGTGTCTCCGAATAGACTTAAATCAACCTCATGTTGATGGCTAAGGTTGTTTTTGAGTCATGTGACTGTCATACCACAGCATAACAAACTAAAGGTGTGCACCTCCACCAGTGCTCTGAAAGCAGAGGGTGCTAACAGAGCCAGTACGTGCTTTGACTGTTTTGCGTTGGTGGAGAGGTGTATCTGGGAGTCTTCAGTAATCAGAGTACCCTTTACATTACTAACTCTCAGGAACTGATCATGTGAGCAGGGGTTATTGTCGTTTTCCTTCCAGAGGCCATCACAGGGGTTTGCCTTTTGTTATTTTTGGCAGTGTAAATGCTATAACGCCTGAGTTTGGGGGAAGAAGAATGGTTTACCACATGCCCCCAGTAGCCACTGCCATTCAGATCCAGAAATGGCGGCAAACCGACCGTCTCTGAGTTATCTCTGGGCCGGAGAGGCAGCTCGGCAGTTAAGATCCGGGGGATCGAGTAAGGCTCCCAGCACCCATGTCAGGCAGCACAGACAGCCTGTAACTCCAGCCTAGGAATCCACCGCTCTCTGCAGCCACGTGGCACACATATAAATACATTTTTAAAAAATTTTACACAGTCAAATTATCTCAGGAAGTGAGTAGGGATTTGAAAAGCTTGTAAGATTATTAAGATGACTGTCACCATTTGTGGGTGAATGCCCAGAAAACCTTGTCACTTTGTTGTGGCGAGTAGCTGCATAGAACCCAGATGTACAGGAGTCTGGATTGACAAGGACATCTGAGTTAAGGAATCATCTGAACCAGAGAGCTTTGTGGGCAGTGAGTGGTCATCAGCTTTATCAGCAGTGTTGGTCCCCGAGCAGCTGAGGAGTCACCTGAGGAGGACGGCTGAGCCAGCCAGGCTCGGCTCCCAGGATTAAGCTGTAGTGCTCAGCAGTTTAAACGGTTAGATCCCTCCTCTTCCACATGTGCGGGGTTTCGAGTGTTTACTGTTGTTTCTTTCTAATTGTTTTACTTTTTAATTGTGTGTATGTATGTGTGGACATGCCTGGGGATACGCACCCTCAGAGGCAACTTGAGGGCATCAGACTCCCTGGACCTGAATTGCAGGTGATTGTGAGCCCCAGTATGGGCTCTGGGAACCAAACTTGGGTCCTCTGCTAGAACAGTGTACAACATGCTGTGATTGGGGCTGCAGCCATGGCTTAGCGACCAAGAGTGTGCACTGCTCTCCAGAGTCATAGAGGTCACGAGTGTTAGCTACAGCTCTGGAAGCTGTATATGTGTTTTCTGTGTGATCTCCATAACAATGCCAAGAGACGTGTTGTTCTCACCTCCATATGAAGAAATGGAGGCTGGGGGCATAAATAGCCTGCTTGTGTCAGATGGTGGGCAGTGGAGAGCATCCGCCTAGCTGCACTTGGAGAGTTCATTTGTTTTCCCCTGTATGTGGTGCTTGGGACCAAATACAGGGCCTTGTGCATGCTAAGTGTATTCTCTACCACTGAGCTACATTCTAAGCCTGCGCGTAAATATTCTTTTTTTTTCAATGTGTGCACGTGTGCATGTGCTTGCTTGCTTGCGTGTGTGCGTGTGTGTGTGTGTGTGTGTGTGTGTGTTCCTAAACTCCACAGCAGGCCTGTGGGGGTCAGTCGGTTTCCTCTGTCCACCATGTGTTCTTTTTTTTATTATTATATATTTAAATTAGAAACAAGCTTGCTTCCCATGTCAGTCCCAGCTCCCTCTCCCTCCCCTCCACGCCCACTCCCTCCTATCCAATCCCCACCCCATTCCCCAGGGAGGGTAAGGCCCTCCATGCAGGGTCTTTAGAGTCTGTCATTTCATTCCGGGGAGCGCCCAGGCCCTCCCCAAAGTGTCCAGATTGAGAAAGCATCCCTCATTGTGGGATGGGTCCCCAAAGTCCATTTGTGTGCCAGGGATAAATACTGATTACTACCCAAAAACCACATAGATTGCCTGAGTTTCTTCACTGACACCCACATTCAGGGGGTCTGGATCAGTCCCATGCTGGCCTCTCAGCCATCAGTCTGGGGTCCAAGGTCTCCCTCTTGTTCAGGTCAGCTGTTTCTCTGAGTTTCATCAGCCCAGTCTTGACCCCTTTGCTCATCACTCCTCCCTCTCTGTCACTGGGTTCCAGGAGTTCAGTTCAGTGTTTAGCTGTGGGTGTCTACCTCTGCTTCTGTCTGTCACTGAATGGAGATTCTAGGATGGTATGTAAGACAGACGTCAAAATCATTATTAGGGAAGGGCATTTAATGTAGTCTCTCCACTACTGCTTAATTTGCCAGTTGGTGTCATCCTTGTAGATCTCTGGAGATCTCACTAGTGACAGATCGCCTCTCAAACCTATAATGACTCCCTCTATTATGGTATGTCTCATCCTGCTCTCCTCTATTCTTCCCCCAACTCAACCTTCCTGCTCCCCCATGTCCTCCTCTCCCCTCCTCTTCTCTCCCACTCTTTGTCCTGGCTCCCTCTACCCTCCCCCGAATGCTCTCAATCTGCTCAGGAGATCTTGCCTCATTCCACCTTCTCTGGGGTGCCATGCATATCTCTCTTAGGGTCCTTCCTGTTTCCCTGCCTCTCTGGCAGTGGGATTGTAAACTGGCACTCCCCTGATTCATGTCTAAAATCCATATATGAGTGAGTGTATACCATGTTTCTCTTTTTGTTACTGGGTTACCTCACTCAGGATGGTTTCTTCTAGTGTCATCCATTTGCCTGCAAATTTCAAGATTCCATTGGTTTTTGTTTTTTTTTTTTTTGTTTTTGTTTTTGCTAAATAGTACTCCATTGTGTAAATGTACCACATTTTCTCTATCCACTCTTCAGTTGAGGGGCACCTAGGTTGCTTCCAGGTTCTGGCTATTACAAATAATGCTGCTATGAACATAGTGGAACTTGTTTTGTGCTACCAGACTATGTTATATAGCATACAAATGATAATACATAATTATAATATGGCATTATAATTATCATATATAGTGATGCTTAAATTTTATCTGGAGTTTTATCTCACTCTCAGTTTTAACAAAGATTATTTTCCTCTAAAATACAGGTGTTGTTTTTTTTTTTTTTTGGTTTTTTCTTTTTTTTTGGTTTTACGAGACAGGGTTTCTCTGTATTGTTTTGGAGGCTGTCGGTCCAGCCCGGCCTCGAACTCCACAGAGACCCGCCTGCCTCTGCCTCCCGAGTGCTGGGATTAAAGGCGTGCGTCACCACCGCCTGGCTTCTAAAATACAATTTTAAGTCACTTATAATTTTAGGGGTGTTTTTATTCTGTTGCCTTAAATTTCTAGATGAGCTTCCTAAGACTGCAGGATAAAGTATGAAGCTCAGTCTTTATTGGTTTACTTTTGTATCACCGTGACCATGCTATTCGACGGAAACATCTGTCAAACCTTGGCTCAGACTTTCAGAGGAGTTTCAGTTCACCCTGCTGGAGAGGATGGATGCTGTCTGGGGCAATGTTCCTGTGCGATGAATCTGGCCACGTGGCGGCTGACCAAGAAGCAAGCTGTGACCAGGTGCAGGGAGAGTCCTCACAGGCCTGCCCCTCGAAGTCAACTCCTATCAGCCTAAAGCCCCTAGCCAGCCACAGCATAGTGCCACAGGCTGGGGACGAGTGCTCAGTGTGGGGCTCTGGAGCAGTTCAAAGTCTGGCGTCAAGTCTGTGCTGTTGCATTTCTGTAGCTTTGCTGTGTGGTGGTGTCCGTTTGTTTGTTTCGCTTTGGTTTTTCAGTTAAGATCTTGAACTCTAACCTTGAACAGTCATGGCAGTGTCATCCCATCCCGTGTCATCGTGTGTGGTCTGTGTGCGCGTGCGTGCACTCGTGTGCTCGTGTGTGTGTGTGTGTGTGTGTGTGTGTGTGTGTGTATTTGAGAACAGTAAGATACACACACACATATGCACACATGCACACAAAGAAAACGATATGCTAACCTTACCATTTGCAAGCTGGGCATGGTGGCATATTCCTTTAATTCCAGGGTGTGAGGGCAGAGGCAGGTGGATCTCTTGAGTTTGAGGCCAGCCTGATCTGTAGAGCAAGTTCTGGGCCAGCCAGGACTACATAGTGAGACTTGTCTCAAAACCCAACAGATAAACAAGTCAAAACAGCAATGAAAGCTGTTTGAAGTCTGTGAGCACAGCAGTTGCAGGGCGAGAAGGCAAGCCTCTGTTGAGGTGGGATTGAATCGTCCTCCCTCATTTCCACAGAAGATGCTCACAGCACAGAGCTGGCTTGGTGCTAGCTTTAGGAAATGGAGTTTTACACCTTCCAGGCATTTTGTGAAATGTGTTTGTCTCCATACTCACCGACTCATGCATGGAGGAAAAGAAACTTCGTCGCCCGCAGGATTTCAAGTGTCAGAGTCTCTTATCAAAGGCTGAGGTGTGGCATGGACCACTCTCAGAACATGCCCAACTGTCCCTGCTGTACCCTAGGTGTGGATGGAAAGTGGACATTACTGTCCCTGCTGTACCCTAGGTGTGGATGAAAGTGGACATTTATACCTTTTTTGCATCATTTCTCAGTGACCCGAATATGGAGTTTTGAGACCCGTTTGGTTCATACGTACTGGCATTACTTTATCACTGTAAAATCTCTAAGTTCCTTTCATGAAAAATAAGCATAAATATTTTTAAGTAAGCTGTGTGCGTTAGTCTTTCCCCTCCAGTCCCACATGACATCTTATATTAGTGTTTGGAATTCAAGAACAGGTAGACTGTCTCAGTGCAGGACGGTTCATTGGTCACAAACTTTTTTTCAGTCTGGCAGCTGCCAGAGCATCCATGCCGCTCCTGGACATCGTGAAGCAGCGCCTGCAGTGTTCTGTGTGGATGAATGCGGACATTCTTCCTGGGCCAAACGGAAGCAGCAAAGTGGTGGATGCCAATGCCTTTCTAGACACGGTGACATCCTTCTTCCCAGATGTGACGTTTTCCCTGGGTTGGACAACGGGATGGCATCCGGAGAAAGTCAATGAAGGTGGTCGATGGGGGATGTCCTTCTGTATGCTGTTAACATATGTTTCTCTTATTGGTTGATGAATAAAGCTGTTTCAGCCAATGGACAGGCAGGATGTAGCCAGGCAAGAAGTATAGGTGGGGCTATCAGACTAGAAGAATTCTGGGAAGAGGAAGGCAGAGAGGGAGTCACAAGGGAGAAGCCATGTAGCCGCCAAAGGAGTAACATGCTGGCCATTACAGGTAAGCCACAGCCTCGAGGCAATACATAGTCTAATAGAAATGGGTTGATAATTAAGAGAGAGCTAGCTAATAAGAAGTCTGAGCCAACAGCTAAATAGTTTATAATTAATAGAAGTCTCTGTGTCTTTATATGGTACTAAATGGCTGCAGGACCAGGCTGAACAGAAACTTCGTCATCAAGTGTCAGTTCTAATCAAGTGTTTACTGTTGGCCAAATTAAGCCTTTGTCCAGTTGTAAAGTCACTAAAGGTCATCCCATGTAGTCAAAGGGCCTTTAGGAAAGATCCGACCCTGCAAGTGTGTGTGCCCTCCCTTGTCCCTCCACATAGACCCTGGTGACATCTGTCCACAAGCTTCCGTGGGAAATGTTTATTCTCCAAAATTTGTCTTCAACTGCTTTGAGAAAATTCCAAGTTGGTTTGCAAATGTGTAACATTGGACTCATTTCCCCAAATAGTATACAGCAAACTCAGTATATAAGCTGAAGCACGTAGGAGCTTTTCAGACAGTAGTCTGAGTGTGGCTGAAGAACACAGCTCTGTCCCTGAACACTTCCTTGTTGTTGGGTGGCTTAATGATGGAGTACTTGACTAGCATTCCCAAGACCCATGTCTTTACCCAGCACCATTAAAAACATAAACAAGAGTAATCTTTTCCTTGCATTATAATGTTTTAATTCACTCTGAACTCAATGGAGATTTTGTGAACTTTCTAGGACTTTCTAGGAATTCATCTGTTAATTACTGACAGAGTTTTTCCCCCTGGATAATTGAGTCTTTTAGTTAGTTGACTTCCAAGATTCCCATCAGAAACTTATATTTCTTTCTTCTCACTCCAGGCTACAGTTGGACAATGGTGAAAGAGATGGACCACGTATGCAGTGGACTAACCCAGCCTGTCACGTTTCCTGTCAGGGCAGCTTTGGTCAGGCAGTCCTGTTCCCAGTTACTCTGGCTGTTGAAGAGATCCAACAGGTATGAATTGTCATCATACCAGCCTGAGGTGTGGGTGTGTGGGCAGTAAAAACAGAAGGGACGCGACATTCTCCAAGTGTCCGCTGGTCTATGCCTGCAATCCCAGCGCTTGCAGACTGGAAGCAGAAGGATTAGGAATTCAAGGAAATTTTCAGCTACACAGGGAATTAAAGGCTAGCCTGGGCTACATGAGATTCTATCTAAAAAATTTTTTTAAGTCATGGCATAATAATTTTGACGGGACAGTGTGTACAAAAGAGAAGGAATGAAAACTGATGAGCTCGGCACACTGATCCCCCTTTCAACAAACCTTAGCATGGCTTACCCCATCCTCCACAATTTTTACACATGGTACTTCCAAGTAAATGTTGTCATCTTTTAGTTATAAGTAGAAAATGTAGTTTATCTTTGAATATTTACCATTACAGAATTCTTTTTCATACAAAACTTTAATCTTTTGATATACAATAAAAATTAGCTGGGGCTGGCAATATGTTCCAGCAAATACATGTTTGTCACAAAAGCCTGATTTCATTCCCTGGGACCCATGTAATGTGGAAAGAGAGAGTTGACTCCACAGTGTTGTCCTCTGACCTTCATACATGAGCATATTCGTGCGCTCACACACACACACACACACACACACTAGTGATGATGATGATGATATAAAAAGACATCTTGAGGGCCGGAGAAGTGGCTCAGTGGTTGAGAACTCTTGCAGAGACTGAGTACAGTTCTCAGCCCCCCCAGCCTCTTCTCCCCCCTCCCCCCCAAGTCATCTGACTCTCTGCTGCCTGTAGCCCCAGCTCTAGAGAGATTACACCTCCTAAGGGCATCTACACTCACCTGCACACATTTGCACACAGGCATGGGTACATAATTAGAAATAAAGTCGTCAAAATAGTAAAGAAATAAATTTAACTTAGCTATACCATATATTTAATGTTGACACATACTCTAAAGATACAAATATTAAAGCAGTTTAGGTACTGCCTTTTGGGGCCAGTAGAAGCCTAGAAGCCAACTCACACCCGTCACAGAACTTAGTGTGGGAATAAGCTGGTATTACAGCCACCAAGACGGAGGTCTAATAACTAGTATAGTAGCAGTTAACCATCTAGAAAAAGCTGTACTCACAGTTTTCCTTAGTCTTTTTGCCAAGTATATTCCCATTGATTTAATGCTTGAATATTAAATTGACAATGCGTGAAGAACAGACAAGGATGCTTTTTAAAAATGATTTATTTTATTTTTGTTTATGAGTGTTTTACTTGTGTGTATGTATGTGTACTGTGTACATGCCTGATGCTCACAGAGGTCATTAAAGGTCATCAGATCCCCTGGAACTGGAGTTACATATGGTTGTGAGCCACCTATGGGTGCTGGGAACTAAGTTTTGGTTCTCTGCAAGGCCAGCTTTTTGGTATAGTTTCAGAATCGAATGCTTTTCTTGGTGTTAAAGGCACCAAGTCCAGAAACCAGGAAATAAAATTTTGCTACATTTGAATACAATACATAAAAATAAGAAATTTTGATTTAAATGGTATGATTATACATGTCAGAGAGATATAAAGAATTCTAACTCATAAAAAAGTTTACAACCAGCCGGGCATTGGTGGCGCAAGCCACTCTCAAGGCAGAAGCAGGTAGATCTCTATGAGTTCAAGGCCAGCCTGGTCTACAGAGTGAGTACCAGGACAGCCTCCAAAACAATACAGAGAAACCCTGTCTCGAAAAACAAAACACACAAAAAATTTACAACCATCTAGCAAAAGGCCCAATTTACTAATTCATCAGGTTGGACAGAGCAGAGGAGGAAGACATGAATCTATCACAGATGCAAACTGGTTGAATTCTTTGAAGAATAGTTTGGCATGTGCATGGATTTCATCAATAAGGGCATGTCTTCCCGGAAAAAGTTCATGTGCACACAGAGAGGCAACTTCTCATTTCAAAGCATTGCTTGTAATTATAAAAGATGTGAGACATTCCAAGTACCCTCCGTTCAGAAACTGGCTGAGTATATTATGGAATACTCTCATGATGGGATAGTAAATACTTGTTATAGGTCATGCTGTGGGCTCCCTGTTTTATTGTGGATGAATCTCTAAGGTAGTTCTGTTAAGTGAAAAGCATTAAAGTTCAGAATGGCCTGTGTATTATGATTCCTCTTGCATGGGAAAGCTGAACTATAAATTTTTATGGATGAATTAAACTTGTCAGTGGTAGCTGGCATTATGGTGAAAGAGAAACATTAGATGGTGAGACAATAGACTAGTCTGGATCTGCACTGCAAGCAACTGAAACCAATTCTGGCTAGCTGGTAGAAGAGACATGTATTGAGCTAAGGAGGAGATCATTATTTTAATAGTGTGCAATGCTTTAGACATTCTCTTGGGGCAGGCATGTCATTTATGAACTCTTATTATTAACTCTGCTTCTAGTTTTGTTTTTATTAGTGTTGGACAATTACTCTGAAGTCAGCTAGCATACTATATTAATTTTTAAAGATTGCTATTTAAATTATGGCACTAAATTAAAGTATAAAAATTATATTCTCTTACAGAACTCTAAAATGTATAGTCCTGTCTGAGAAACAGTCACAATATAAAGAGATTATTTTCATGTATAAAGAGTACTTAGTGGCCAGGCGTTGGTGGCGCACGCCTTTAATCCCAGCACTCGGGAGGCAGAGGCAGGCGGATCTCTGTGAGTTCGAGGCCAGCCTGGTCTACCGAGCGAGTTCCAGGACAGCCTCCAAAACAATACAGAGAAACCCTGTCTTGAAAAAACAAAAAAAAGAGTACTTAGTGGTCATATACATAAGCACCATGTGGTTAGAGCCACAGCCTTGAGGAACCTGGCCAAGGCTGCTCATGGTTCCTGTGCAGTTTGCAGTATTTCCACTGGATGCTCACAATGGTTTTGAAAGGCCATGTCTGATCCTGAAAATTTGCAACTCCCAGAGGCACCTGCTAGTCCAAGAGCCCTCAATCAGAAACAATCCTTTCAAACATGATTATAGTGGGCCTTGTAAAATGCGGACTAGCAGCTACCAGAAGACATTGCTGGGCTGTTGGGTATGATCAGGTCTAAGAGCTTTTAGAATATTTTTTCTGCTAAGCAGAAACTGTACATTTCTTAGACATCTACTGTTAAGTCTTTCAAACTGAAAGTGGTGGGTTATATAGAAATGATTTTTTACCCTATGTTTTTACACATGGAGGTAGATCATGACAAAAAGCTATTTCAAAGACCATTCTGTACTGTAAGTTAACAGTAATTTTTTAAAGCTTTGGTCTTTCCACAGTAGACTGTCTCACATAATATATAATAATAATATTTTAATAACAGTGAGTGATTATTTTTATCCTTTGTTCTGAATTTGTATAACAATGTTACAGAAATATTAGTAGTTAACTATTCCATGACCCATCTTTTCACTATAAGGACAATGTTTGAGAAATATTTTTAAAGTAATGAGTTCTAGTGACATAAACAGTATAAATTACCAACACTTAAAATATTGCTCTGGACTAATATGTAAATATGTATATAAATAAGCAGTCTTTTAAAAATCATGGAAGAGTCAGGGTGGTATTCTACCTTAGGTTATCATTAGAAAAACCAATCGTGACACCACGTCTCATGAATTGCACTATATTTCATCATTGTTCGTATTTATGGACTAAAGGCTGTCTTCATTATGTCATTTTTATTAAGCAGTTGCTTGGCCTTTGCCTGTGTTTGTGTGTGCAATGCGTGCATGAGTGTGGGAAACGCTTCCCTGAATGCAAGTTCTGTGTATGAAGTTGACTGAGGCTTAGGGGACTGGAAGCTAAGCCTTCCTTTAGTGATGTGCTACAGTTTTCTCTTCTCCTTCAGTTATCCTGAGTACATGTCAAAGGAAGAAGTTGAGAATGAGTCTCTGTGGTCTGTGAGGCTACATTGCATTATTATATATTGCTATTTTAAGACTTTTTAAAAGGTGTGTGTGTGTGTGTGTGTGTGTGTGTGTGTGTGTTTATGCATGTGGAAGCATGCACACATGAGTGCAGGTAGCTGCAGAGTCCAGACAAGCGTGTTGGGTCCTTAGAGCTGAATTTGTAAGTGGTTGTGAGCAACCCCGTGTGGGTACTGGACTGAACCTGGACCCTCTGCAAGAGCAGTGTGTGTTCTTAACCCCCGGCTATCACTTTAGCCGCTTGAGTTACTATTGTGAATTCATCCTTTATACCCTGCATTGGTTGATATACATATATCTATATCTACATATAATATGCACTGCTATGTAGGTGGTCATTTATTTTTGCATACTTACATTATGCCCAAATCTTCCAATAATTTTATCATTTTCAATGATTTTTCAGTTGATTTTTGAGTCTTCAAAGCAATTATATGTGTGTGTACATATATACACATATATGTCCTCTTAAAACTATGATATTTTCTCTTTTGAACTTTGATAGCTTTCATTGCTTTTCCCTTTTTCAGTTAGTGTTTAGTTCTTAGTGTTTCCAGAACAAGTGGTCGTACTAGGGGCAGCCTAATTCTCCAGCAGATAATGCTGAGGATGTTTCAGTTCTGGCAGGGATTCCAGGGGCTTCTTGTGCCAGGAGCCATGAGTGTGTTCTGTCCTGCACAGGACACCCCCAGGGAAGAATTCTCTCACACAGATAGCATAATGCCCACATGGAGAATTCTAGCAAAGTGTCCAGTTATTGGTGATTATGGTCATTGTTAACTTGAAAGCTTCTCACGGCCTGCAAAGATGCCAGTCCAAACAAGCATCCAAATCCCTGTGTGTTCCATCTTTCCCAAGGGCCTTTTCTATTCCTGTGAAAGCAAGGCCAGCACAGGCAGGCAGATCTCTGTGCGTTTGAGGCCAGCCTGGTCTGTATAGCAAGTTCCGTCCAGTCTAGCCCAAAAATGCATCTTCTTTTCCCTCGGTGCCAGTAATAGGATACTGATTGTGCTATTGTGTGTGGTGTGCCAGTCCT